CACGGATAAAATACAAGGAAATTGCCGGTAATGAAATGCCGGCGTAGCAGTGCCAAAGCTAGCAGCTCGAGCTGGGAGAAGAACGAACGCGCGTCCGAAATTAAAAAGTAGACAAAATGGTCTGATATCACCAGCCTAAGACAGACGCGTACACATTGGGACACCCTAACCCGCTAAAAGTGTTTTGTGCGAAAGACAGCCCTGCGGCTCACGGCAGGGCAAACGATTATCGACGCCTTGTCGTAGCTGAACGAGCAGATCCAGAAAGCGACCGCGTCCGCGGACTACAGCTGAACACTCTTACTCTACATGCAGAGCTCGTACATCTCACAGACAGCGTGAAAATATTGATGGCTCGTTATTCCCACCCGCAATGCACCCAAAACAAAAGCGTCAATGTGACAGGATTACTCACCCGAAGGAAGTCAAACGAGCAGCATGACGCTTGCGACCCTCCGGCAACGACCGTTTCCAGCTCTCCGTGAATTGGCGCGAAGCCTTAGCACCGTCCGAATTCTTTGCCGTGGATTAGTGCGCCTGCCCCTCTCCTCCTGACCGAACTACATTGGTCCAGTTAAGAGGGACCAGTCCCCTCTTAATATGAAGGGAGACGCGTGAATCTTTCTGTCGGTCTTTCCTGTTCAGAGGGACCAACGAAACGGTTTCCTTGGTCTCTCTTAATATCTTGGTGTCCCTCTAGATGTTGCTATTTTATTTTTCAATTTCCCTCTTAAAAAGAGCTGTCCCCCTGAAAGCATTGTTGTCCCCTCTAAAATCAGAGGGACAGCGTTTTTTATGAGAGACCGGTTTTAGAGTGTAGCAGGCTCGTTGTGCCCTTTGTACCCGGAGGGCGGCGCGAAACGCGATGCCGACGGGCGTCGGGCGGCATCAGGCGACGTGGACTTCTCCATGCCATGCCAAAGGTCCTACGGCTCCGCTTCCTAATTAATGCCTCTTTACCGTAATATTTGTAGTGCCTCTCTAAAATATTTTTGACGAAAAACAAATTTTATGGGGTGATGGCGGTTTGAACTTGTTAAAAGGGAGTGAAACGAGGAATCATTTAATAATTGATGAGAAGTCAGATTTTTTTACGGAACACTGGAATATTTTTGCCTTAAAATCAGACGGTATTTGGACTGCTATGTAATAAAGGTAATAAAATTTGGTATGCCCGAAGCAATAAAAAAAATGAATATATGAGCATTCTAGCTTTTTTTTTTGTTTTGTTTTGTTACAACCTACCTTTTTGCTGCAAGAGACTAAAAAATTGCGGTGGCTTAGCTCGGCTATGCTAGGATATACGTAGCATGAGCTTATGCGCACAAAATGAGATGCGCTATCAAGCGGCTCCGGTGCAGCGTCAGACTTGGCTACTGCGCAACGGAGGCGCACAGCTGGGCACGCGGCGGCGCCAGTGCGTCTGCCGCGGCTATGACATCACTCCTCTGGAATGCGCAGACCGGCGAGGCAAAGCGCGGCGGCGGCGGCTCCGGCGCGCCAGCTGTCCGCCGTGTGACGTCACTGCTCCTCGCGCATGCGCAGCACAAAGCACGGCTCATTATGCGAGCCACGCGAAACTGCTCAACCTCGGCCAGTGTAGCTCACGCTACAAAATTCTTATTGGCAGCCCTGGAGGTATACTGTACACACAAGAGGTTTTAGGCAGTACAACTAAATATCTTGCAGCAAAAAATACTAAATTTGTGCAAAATGGCGTTTTGCCGTTTAAAGAGCCGTCAATTCTGCCTCGAGGTGGCCCAAAGAAAAATACGAAACATGGTGACTTCTACGGAAGAATTTATTACCTTTGGTTTTTGAAAGTTTAATTAAAACAATTTTGTTCTAAAGAGGAAAAAAAATTTTTTTTTTGAAGTTGAACTATTGCGCCGCAACTTGGCGCCGACCTGGCGCGTGGTTTCGATTCCAGAATTACGTCATCAAGCTATGCGAAGGCAAGACTGAAAGAAATCGTCCCCTTTTATCCTCGCAATAGACCGATCCCACAGCTAGTTTGAGTACGCCACCGCTGCCGCCATGCATCGTGGGAGCTGTAGTCTTTCTGCACGCGCGACAACCCTGCTGGAGGTCTGCGCGAGCAGAGCACGAGGCGGCATGAGCTGTCTCGTGAACTGGCGTCTGCCTCATACGAACTACAGCTATGGCGGCGTCACGCATGCGTGGAACGCTTGGTGAGATCGGTCTATTGCACCGCGACAAAGGAGCTTCCGAATAGACCGATCTCGCCAGCCAGTTTGACTACGCCACCGCTGCCGCAATGCATCGAGGGAACTTTAGTCTTTCTGCACGCGCAACAACCTTGCTGGAGCTTTACACGTGTGGAGCACGAGACGGCACGAGCACCCGCATGCACGGCTGTCTGCCTCCCGTGAACTAAAGTTATGGCGGCGTCACGCATGCGCCGAACGCTTAGTGAGATCGGTCTATTAGCGGCGTCTCTGCGAGTACACTTGGGCCAGACTCTGACCAGTACGCCCCTGTAAAGTCCTGAACATTTCAACCCAATATCATTTCATGACCCCTTCAAAGGGGCAGGGCAACGATTTTCGGACTTTTGCTAATTAACTGCAGGAATTAATCTGTGTCAGAACAGTCAGAACAAAGTACAGTAAAGCGTGTTTTCTTGCGCGTTTTTTATTAAAAAGAAATTAAACAAACCGAAGGTCGAAGTGCCTCTCAACTCTCACGCCATCTTTCGAGTGACGTCTCTGAGGATCACTTGGTTTCCCGTTGGGTTCTCTCTTCAAAGACCACGACCGCTTCCTCCGCGACTGCGCGCCGCGAAGATCGTGGCGAGTGATCGACACAAAAGACGGTTCGCCACGGTGCTGGCAGTGAGTGTAGCAGCGGAGGGGGACAGGTTTTCTTGACTCCTGCGTGCCTTCTAGAGACGTGTGTCACAGTAGTTTCCGTAACCGCCACAAACGGCTGCAGATCGGCAAATAATTCGTTTGTTCCTTTGCGATTACGCAGCGGAATAACAGCTTTTTTAAAGCAAGGTGGCACGTTTTTTTGTCATTTGCGCCCAAACAAAAAAAGTAAAAAAAAAAACACTTGGAGGACGTTTAAAGGGAAGCTACTTGGAAAAAATGAGTTAGAAGTGAATTCTAATGTATTTTTACCCCGTGAACCCGAATACCCAAACCATTTGCTGCGTAAGTACTGTTAAACGCGAGAAAAACGCGAAAGACAGTCGCTGTCCGTGACGTCATCGACGGCTCTTTTGGCTGCCCAAGGCTAGGGAGGCGGGGCTTCAGTCCTATTTTGAAATTGCTCGTATGGCTCTCCGGCGCGTCGCATTGAAATACAAATTTGATATCTGTTAATCTAAAGGCCAAATGAACGCAATTCAAGCGTTTTTTCTCAAATGTAGAAGTGCCCCATCTTCCCTTTAAGCTTCAACGCGATAGCGTTATTGAGCCCCGTTCGCATCGCCTTCTCATTCGCCGTGCAAGCGTACATTGTAGCGTGCCTGGCTCACAACTGAAGGGTCGTGGACTCGAATTCCGCCTAAATTTTTTTTTTCCCGCGCGAGGTTATGTGACTGTGACGTCATGACCCTATCGACCAATCAGGAGTTTCGTGTCACGCCACCGACTTTTCTGTGACACAAGCTCTTTAACACTGCAGTGCTAAAAGTGTATCTCCACGGAGCTCGTCTTCTTTGTGCAATCAGCGATTAAACCAACCAAACAAAAAAAAAAAAAAAACACTACGGCGCATTTACTGTGCGGTTTAGCACCGAACGGCCATCTTGCGCGTGGCGAAATCGCGTTTTTGCTAGCGTTGCAGAGGCTGGCGACAGCGTGCTGAAGACACGTTTTCTACTCGTTCGTCGTCATCCGCCGAAGTTTTTTAAGACCCCGTGTAAGCGTTGAGACTTGCCGTCGAGAACACGTGGAAATTTTCACGAAAGCGCAGTGCCGCAGGAAAAAGGCGCGACTCGTCGAAAGCAAGTTTCGCCGGTCTCGCGGCGTGATCAAAGCTTCCTTGGCACGCCGAAGTGCTGCCACTTTGTGCCTTCGTACACTTGGATACCGATCAAGGTTCGACGCCGTGTGAATGTGTTTTGCGAGTGCAATGTGCGTGAAGCCGCATGTAAAGGAACAACTCGTCGAAAGCAAGCCTCGCCGGTCTAGCGGCGTGATCAAAGCTTCCTTGGTACGCCGAAGTGCTCCGTCTCTGTGCCTTCGCACGCTTGGATACCGATCAAGAATCGCCCCTGCGGCAAAGTTTTGAAGGTGTGTCGCGCGTGGATGTCTTTGCATCCTATATCTGCCACGGAGTGCTGGCGTGTCAAAAATTAAATTTTACGCGAAAAAAAAAAAAATATTTTTAGAGCAATATTTACGGCGAGATTTTGAAATTCTGCGCGCAAAGTCCATGACGTCATAGAATGGTCATTCGCTCTTTCCACCTCAACCTTCACGCGTCCGAAATGCCGAGAAAACAAGTGGAAAGGAGGTGACTACCGACTAAATCGCGTCCTGCACCATTAATATTGCTCCAATTTTTTTTTCGCGTAAAATTAATTTTTTGACACGCGCGTCCCAATCAAACGGTTTAAAAACATTTTTTTTCTTTTCAGGGACCCTTTAAGAAAAAAAAAAAACAGAAAAAAAAACATGTGCATCAACTTTTTGGAAACGAAACCCGGCCACTGGGACTTTTAGTTTGGGAAAACAGCTTTACCATCAAAGTGTCACTGAAAGCTGTAAACATTCGCACAAGCCTCGTACCGAGAGCAATGTTGGCGCTAATTCCTCACATTTGGGAAAAAGTAGCAGGATGTGTTAGTAAGCACTTTGGCGCAAATGGCGCAGGAATCATCGTCCCTGCATACTTTGTCAAGCCAAGTCTGATCAGATTCAATGCAATTTTGGTTGCCTCAAAATTTGGAGTATCACTGAGCTTACAAGTCCATCACAGATTATCATTTTCCTGATTCTAGAGATGAGCAGTCAAACATGAAACAAAAAGGCATGCATAGTACATTTTATTTTACTTAAATTTATTTTGCATCGAGTTCCAACACAAAAACCTACAAATATAACATCCATGTCTATAATTATATTTTTAAACGAGACTAAGAAAATCAGTGATGCAAGAAGGCCCTTGCACAATTTGGAACCTGGTTTCCAGTCATTCAGCTGACGCATGCAGCTTTAAGCCCGCTCACACACTTGCCACTCCATAGGACTGAGTGCCATAAACTCTGGCGATTTTTTGGGCTCCGCCAATTAACTATATTTTCGGAATCACCAGCCTTTACCCTTTCCGATACGTTATTTAGTATCGCGAGATTCTGAATAGTTAAAATCGGCAAGTGAAAACGATGCCAAAACCAACATTCAGATACACCCGCGCTTTTTAGAGCCGTGACGTCGGGGGAAGGCAGGCTTGCAGGTCGGGCGCGGGCAGTCTAGAAATGGACTATGCCGAGCATTTTGTTTCGTGCTGCTGTACGGGTGCTGGAGTGAGCTTCCAAAGCATTCATTCGCCACCATGAAACTGCCTGTAATCAGTTGGGAACAAAGTATACAGTCCAAAGAGTGAACCCCTGCCTTCCTCTGACGTCACTTTTTCATAGTTGTCAGTCAAAAATTTCACTTTGAAAAATATAACGAGAACCAAAATGATAAATTCAATGACTTCGAAAAAAAAAATTTGGCCCAATATTTGGGTTACTATTTCAGCGACGTTTGTTGGTGCATTTAGCAAATGTTCAGACAAATCGAGGACTATAAAGTACCCCTTTCCTTTTCAAATCTCTTACGAGAGAACTCACTGGCACCATCTATGTGGTCACCCTGGCATTTCACTAGAGCAGAGGTTTTGCGGTAATTGCAAGGTCAAATGTACATACTAGCTACGAGAATGGGTTGCTCGTAAAATTGACAAAAGTTTTCCGAGCCAAAAGAGAAAAAATGATGCGGAAAAAAAAAGGAAATATACGGGACGGCCGAGCGTTCCACGGCTATCCGATAGGTGGCACCGTGCATTCTCTTGTTGCGAGAAATTTTAAAAGAGGTTTCAAGGCACACGTTCCCAAGAAGCCACAAGTGTGTGAACGAGCTTTCGCGAAAAAGACCTTGAATGCTTCAACTGAATCCTGACATCGCTCGTGGGTCGTCTCTTCTTGTCCTTTCGAGCCGCATCCCCAATCTGCGGAAAGCCCATCCTTAGGACAACACCAGGGGGGAGGACCAATCTCAAGAGCAAAACATGCCAGTCGGTTAATCTACAAAGGGGTGAAAAGAACACATAGCTGCTCACACAACCAATGGGTGTGATTTCAGACTTGCAGACTCTGATAAACGACCCATAATATTAAGCATACATTAAAACACTATGCCTCTCTCAGGTCCCGACGAGATTAGGGTCAAAGTTTTCACGAGTCTTCACTCGGTACTCTGTGGGAACACGCACGAGTGCGACGGCACGTCACTTTGAAGTTGTTGTCATGACGGCCACACGGAGGAAGATGCTGCAGCCTTCCACCAGGTGTGGGCAGGGCCGGAACGGTCGGTTGCAGACGGCGACTGCGACACACTTTTTTTTTTCGGCGACGATTGCCAGTGGGGTTACGTTTTCCGCTCTTCCCAGACGAGTTCAGAGTCTGAAGACGACGAACTAGAAGACGACAGGTGCCCGTGGTGTTTTCTTTCCGAGGCATCGCTGTCGCTGCTGGGAGTGTTACGCTCACGATGCCTGCGGCGCGACCGACTCCTGTGACTACTGCTCGAGCTTCCCGGCGTGGCCTGTTGCTTGTGCTTGCGGCGCTCACGTAAAAATTCGCTTGCTAGGTCTTCAGGGTCGCTGTCCTGCAACTGCTTGGACTTGTGCTTGCTACACACGTGCTTGTGCCTCTGCTTGTAGCGACGTTTCTTTTTGTGGCTTTTGCTCCTGGGCAGTGCCACACCGGCAAATGTGAACATTTTGGTCAATGGCAACGTGTGGCACAACATGGCCTACCAGCAGGTACAATGGTCCCTGTGGTAAGCCATCTGGTTTACACAAATACTATGGTAAACTCTAGTTGCTATAGTTTTTGCGGAATCATTAAAAAAGAAATGTTATCCCAAAAGTCATAGATGTCTTTCGTCAAATGCTATATGTCTATGAATGAATCTTTTAATTTAAAGGGCCCTCCCATAAACATATTTCTTTCCCAGTAGTCAACATACACTAAGAAATAGCAATTTGAAATCATTAAAAAGTGTAACAAATCCTGCTGCTATTCCTTCTTCGGTATCTTCCCAAACCTTTTTTTTTTGTTGTGGTTCATAAAACTTTGTAAGGAAAATATCTCTGTGTGGCTCCTTGGTGACATCCACATACTCTGACCTTTAAAGGCTTTACTGCCACAGGCCCATCAGGCTTGCATTAAAGTACATTTTAGCATAAATTTCTATCCACCTTTATATCTCCATCCCACTCCCAAATTTTCCAAGTTATTTTGGGTGGAAATTAAGAGGGTGTATTTGGAGTTCATATCCTATCACTAATTCAGAGCTTGAATCAGAATTTATTTCTGTTAAATTCTCAATCCTTTTCTGGGCCATTGCCGATTACCTTGAAGTGAATGAATTAAATGGCCTCTCTCATAACATCTGAAAGCATTACTGGGGTACCCAAAGAGCATGCAATCAACTTCAAAACAATTAAACATCTAAATAACATAAATAGTATTAAGTACATTTGCAAAGAGAAACAAACCAGACTTTTTAAAAGCAATCTCTCCTTTCACATCTCTACAAACTTCTTTGTACTGAGATTTGATAAGACTCCCAAATTCATGCTTTGAAAATAGACCCTTTCCGAAATTCAGTGCCATCTGGTGGCTGAAATGGCAGTTTAATTTTTGCCATACGAATGGCGGCAATGAACCCGTAGCCTGCAGTATTTTATCGGGCACCGTCCCTTTTGCATGTCAACGGCAGACGAGAATAAACTCTTCGCTATACAGGTATTTCTGGATCATCTCTTCAAGTGTCGATTCCCACAAAGATGCAACCAGTCAGAACGAAGCGCCAGCCCAGACAGACGCCTTGATAAAGTTCTATAAGTCAAGGGGTTTTGAAATCGCTTTTGTCCCACTAACAGGTTCACTGGGCCCGAATTAGAGAAATGAACGCTTACGAAGCGCTTGCATTCAAATCCGGTTTCGCAACGAGCCAACGTATAGGCCTCGAATCCTCAGCTTGGGAGTATCTTCAACATGTTCCTTCATCAGTAAATAGAAAGACGCCATTGGTATGGCACATATGCCATTTTTTAGATGATGATGATAGTGATCAAGGTGGCCAGACTTAATTTCGGAAAGGGTCTATTGCCAAGGCATCAAGTCCCTCTGCACAGTAGAACCTAATGACCATAACCATAGCCTCCTATATACTGACAAAGCCTGGCAGATCACCACAAGAAGCAGCCGCTGAAATGGAAAAGGTGGAGCGGCAGACAACAAATAAGAGAAGAGCCACGTGACTGGCGCCCCTCTGTGGCGAGACGCCAAAACACACTTCTCCCGAGCAAACAGGTGTGTTTCGGGTGCTCGCCGCTGCAAAAGCTGTGCGCTGACGTCAAGGTTCCTCGAGAAATGGCTCTTTGATGCTATGCGCTACCAGATCCTCGCGCTCCAAATCTGTGTCTGGGCACTCTATGACTCCGTTGTCGAACTGCCAGGCTTTGCGAGTATACATCTTTCCAAAAAAAACGCTCCTAGGCCGTCGCCATGTTGCTGATGCCGATGGGGCTGGTGCAACTCACGCACCCTTTATCAACTAGAAATTTTCTGCCACTCTCTTGGACTGTGAAAATCCGCTCAGCGCGATCCTATACCTATGTTTTGCGGTTTTGCATTCAACGTTTTCTGGCCCCTCTTGAAAGTTTCCACTTAATTTTTCTGATGCATGCTGCATACCCTTTCTGTGTTATCTCCCACTGTGAGAAATAGGGCTGGTAAGTTCCTGCCATTCAAGCGTTTCTGCTCGACACTCACGGGAAACGAAGAAGGGGAAGGACGACAAACGATCCTCGACCCGATTTTGCGAACAATGGCAACTGTTCTGCTCCCCTCCCAGAGATAATCCATGTAGAGTCCTTCTCAGTCATAGCCAAAAATAGTTGTTCAGGTTGGAGTCAATCGTGCCCAATCCTTTGCCTTGGTGCTGGTGTGGAAAAAAAGAAGCTCTCCCCAAACATGCCCCAAAACGAAGTCATCTTGGATTTCGTCCGATCGTCAAGGTGTGACTGTCGTCGACTGTGACTGTGTTATTTGAGATCTTTCTCAAATAAATTTGTTTCAGATAACGCTGCATTGTGTGGTATGTACAATCTATTGCTTGAACGTTAACACTTGCTAAATTGTATGTTTGTGTCCTGTTTGACATGCAGCTAATCAAGCGGCGCCGTCAAAACGTATCGTAAAAAAAAAAAGACAACTAACATTTCAGTCGCATTCATTCTGTCACGCACATATTCAACAAAATTAGTTTGCAGCTATTTTTGCTTTCTTTTTTTTAAATTTGGTATAATGGTTTCTCAATGTCCTCGGGAAAATACATACACCATGAAACACAAAATACAGCGGGAAAAGACGAGAATTTAGTCGCCAGCAGTGTTTGAAACTGCGCCTATCGAAATCACAGTCCACTCGGTTAGGGTTAACAGGGACGTCGGTGAGAGTCTAGCCTCAAACCAAGTGACTGGGCTCGAAAACGGTTTGCTGCCTCTGGGGTCGAGTGTTCCTTGGAAAGGTGCATAAAGGACGCTATGCCATAATTTATCAACAATAATAAGTCACTCGACTCACCGCTTCTTTGTGTCCGACCCACCGCATGAAGATGAAGGTGGACTTGGCCTAAATTCCTCTGGGTAGAGCTCTTTGTATCCACTGTGACCCCACCTAGGGAAAAAGACCTTAGTGAGGGACGCCACGAAAAAAAAGTCGATGACAAACGCTGCAGCACTGCCAGCCTTCATCAATGGCCAAGCTTATGCAAACCTTTTCCGCTGACTCGATTGTGGTCATGCCTAAAGCACCAAATCCTGTAGAAACCAGGGAAGCAGAATACGTTCTAAGAAATGAGCTAGATGTACCTTCTAGTGTGTCTATCGCATAAATTCGAGTATGACAACTATTTGCCCCAAAATAATGACTGAATATGAGAAAAATTGGTAAAACAACTGCTGGGTGGGACGTCACATATGAAGCTTTCAAATGACTTCCGTGTGCCACTTGTGTGGGCGAGCGTGGGCCCATACACGAACCTATGAAACTGGCCTTCATGCAGATGCCGTATGTGCTTGCAAACTCGACACACAAGTTAGGATTTTTTATACAATTTCTGTGGCCTTTATAAAGAAGTGAAAAGTGCATTGATATTATTTGGAAAGCATTCAAGGTGTGTGAGCTCCTGCAAACCTGAATGCACACGAAGACGGCAATGTAGATCCATTGTCGTGAAAGTTGGGCAAGGCGATAAGCCTATCCCACAACCATAAGTCACTACAAAAATAAGCGTGAAAGATACATTAACAACTCTAGCAAACAGGCAAATCAAGAAACGTAAGAAAAAAAGGCAAACTGCAAAAAAGTTGTTGACTGCTCAGGTGCTCAGGTACGGCTTGCGGAAGGTGCGGAAATGTCGAGATCTTTGCATAATACATTGTGATTCCCTTTTCACACTGACTGTGTTGGAAGCGAGGCACTTCAGCACTCTTTTGGAAGCCCTTTTATGGCTACTCGGTGCACCAAATTTTGAAATAATTTTTATATTCACGATTTGGAAGCAAATATGATTCAAGTGTTTCTTCTCTAATACAGAAAAACCTGTTTCCTTTTAAAACAAGGGTGGTCAAAGCAAGTTAAAAAAACTCGAAAATGAGTTTTCTGGTCACCCCAGGGTGGCAGCCAACATTTTGCAAAAGGATTTAAGTTGAGCCTTTCAGCGAAATGTTGCCTGCCACTCTAAGGCTACCAGGAGACTGTCTTTTGAGCATAGTAGCACACCCAAGACATGGCCAAACTTCTTTTAGTACAGTCCTTGATGCTCCTGCTGGGTTTCCACACCAGAAACGTTGAGAAATTGTGAGCAAAGCGTGTTCCCGAGAGCCAGCATGTTGCAGGCTCTAGTACGCACCTGTCGGGGTCTGCCTCCTTGGCCATGGCCAGCTCTCGCGTCCAGTGGAAGCTGCGCTTGGCCCCTTGGCTGGAGTCGCCGCTCGAGCTGTGTGAGCGGGGACGCTTGCGACCGGAGGAAGGGGAAGGTTCCTCTGGAGCGCAGTGGGCCTTGATGGCCTCGTCCGACACCATCATGGTCAGTCCCTGCTCCAGCTCCCATTGGCGCCACATCTCCTGTTCCTCCAGAACCTGCATACCAGCCACCACCCAGGACGGACCTACCGAGTTAAACCAGGCTCTTTGGACATGGGTGGAGTTCCACGAAATACTGGAACCACCTCTACAACGCCGCCACTCGATGGCATAGACCAGGAGTGGCCAAGCTGCGGCTCTTCGAGTGTTAAAGTGCAGCTCGCAGTTTCCACCCCCATTACCCCCCCCCTCCCCCCTCACATACCCTGCCTCCTTCCTTAACACGCGAGCACTTCTTCCCCAAAAAGAGAAATGGAATGCGTCTTAATTCAACTGACAGTTTGCGGTTTGGTTGTCTTGTGCTACAGCAACCTTACGTAAAGTTGGCCTGCTTCTGACTCGGATAGATTGAAAGTAGTTCGAGTTTCGTTTGCTCTGGACAAAAGTTTGTTCCCTCGCGGCTCTTGGAAGTTTCGTGGTTTTGTTTGCAGCTCTTAGACTGGGTCAGCCTGGCCACCCCTGGCATACACATACATTAGCTCGTCGTCAAAATGAAACCACTAGAGTCCGTTGCAACTCAAGAAGGTAGGGCGAAGGAAAGAAAGGCTGGGGAGGAGGAAGCAGATAAAACACTGGAGAGCAGAGGGGGAAACCTCCTCTCTCCAGCATTTTGTCTGCTTCCTCCTCCCCGGCCTTCCTTTCCCCCGCCCTTCCTGCAACGGACTATTGTAGAATACCGCGCATCCGGCCATTCCACATTAAGCGCCCATTCCCAAATCTGTAAGATCTGAGAAAATACGCACAGTACATTTATATGTAATATTGATGACTGGACAAGCGCCCATGCCCCATTTTTTTGTGATTATCTCCTAAGTTTGAGTGGGCGCTTGCCCGGTATTTTACAGTATGCTAAGTTTGATATTGTGCCTGATGGCATGCAAGTGTCTATAGCCATGTTGACATCTTGGCAGAAATAGATACATGAATGTATTGTGACTGGACCCCTTGAATTGTGTGACAGAGTGCCCTCTTACTACCATGCTTACAATTTGAGCTTCTATGTTCTAGGTCGGTTCCAAGGTATCATATCCCAGTATTTCAAAGTGATGCAGAAGAGGCATCTGTTTGTAACAGATTGCACAAACTCAACTGTTCTACTCAAACTTTCGACAGTGCTTTGTGATAACTGCTTGCCAACCATATTCTCAACCGCACCTTGAAATTTTCTCAAAGTATTTGATAGCTTCACATTAGACAGTTTACTGCTAGTGGTGTAGTTAAGGGGTGGAGGAAGTCAAAACACATACTGAACTGGACCTTACACAGTTTCACATCTTTCTTTGTCGTATCTAATTTAAAGTACATACGGATGGATCCTGCAACAAGTTTTAAGAAGTCTCTAAGACATCTGTTTTGATAGGGAAAGTTATTCCACATGACAGTGATAGTTTCATTTGACTCATAAATATGGTGTTACAAAAAGGCCAATGACCCACATAAACAAGGCTTGTAACACCACTAAGGAGAATGATGGTGAACACACGAACAGATGGTGCGACAGAGTTAGCGAGAGCAAGCGATCGCTGGTCCTCTTTGCGTTCCTCTCAGAACTGAAACGCTATGATGAAAACAACCGAAACCACTAGTACGGTGAAGCGACGCAAATGTCCTGTTCGCGCTGACTGTGTTGCACTATATACAGGTAAGGCAGTCATGTGGACCCTGGTCACTAATACTCGTGCTCGGGGTTCAGTGCCTAGAAGCAGTTGTCCGGCAAAGTAAGGGAACCATCTTTCAGGGAGGAAATACCTCAGAACATATCAGCCGATGAGTCACAACCTGTTGCTGACTCTATTGTTAATCCTGAATTATTTTATAGCACTTTCAGACAGTCACCCGAACCACTTTAAAAGCTATATCAAGGAGTTTTTTTTTTTCATCGCGGGAGAAACGAAGAGGCAGCAAAAACGGTAGAAGATTTTTTGGCAGCATACGGTTGACGCATGCATAGGCAGAAGGCAACGTCGCAACACCTTGCAGAAAAGACGGTGGTAAGGATGGCAGGGAGGATCTTACCCTGTTGTGGTGGTCGACGCTGCTGATAGTATTGCGCAGAAGATCTTTTGCTGCTCGCGAAAACATCCTCGAAATGATTTGTAAGCCGTGTCAAAATCTAGCACAGAACTTACGGCACCCCCCAAGGAACAGCATTGCAACCACATATAAAGAGGGGGAACTTCACGTTATGCGGCTGGTATTTGTGGCAACTTCCTTAAACCCCTCGAAATACCGTAGAACGTAAATAGTAGCCACACGAGTTGAGAGTCCCATATTCCCTGCAAAACGCAAATTGGCACGACGCCATTTTGTCTATGGATGGATGCTTAGTAATCCTTCTCATTGAAGTGGGCGGTAGCCAGCGTCACCAAACAGTAAAGTAGTTTTGAATAGACGTTCAAAAACTTGCAATATTCACATACAAGTTACATATTTTATTAAACTCAATATAAAATAGTACGAATAATTTAAATAACCATAGATATTGTAATATATTAGGATGCACGGCTCGGGCGACTAGAGCGCTGGTTAGATGGTGCAAGCTGTCACCCAATTAAAAAAAGGCGAGTAGTATGGTGCCTTTAAAATCTGGATTATCTACCCAGTTTTACGGGCGCCAAAACAAATCTGTTGTTTTCTGTTCAGTGGAGGTGCCCATTTTGGTTGCATATTCAACGTAGTTTATTGGTTTTATCACGGAGCCCTCCGTGACAAAGTATATTTATACCAGGCAAGTTCGCAAGACGATGTTATTAAGAACTGAATCACAGAACGTGTTTTATCCTGTTCCGTGTGACACGACGGACACAACCTTGCCGACCTTTCATCGTGAAGGCAGTCCGTGAGAGATGCCTGCGTATTTTGCTTTTCCTGGAATGCAACCCTACTGACTTCTACATTTAAAATGAAGTTCGTGATACCGGGAGTCAACGTCAAAATATTCGGCAAAGCCGTACACGCGCTGTCCAAAATAGGCGAGGAGTTGTACCTAATCGCAGACGACGAATCTCTGAGTCTCAAAGTTTTTAGCATGTCCATGAGTTGTTACGCCTGTTTCCGCCTGCTGAAGTCCTTCTTCAGCGTCTACGAGGCGTCCGGAGAAGGTTTTAAGGGTAAGCTGTCTATGAGATCGATCCTGCTGGCCTTCCGTACGGTGAACGGCATGGAAAAAACGGTCGAGGAGTGTCTGCTAGAAGTGAGCGAAACTTGCGACGACGCCGTCGTCACACTCAAGCATCGGAAAGGAATGACGAAGCGATTTCGCCTACCTCTAATAGAGTACGAAACCTTGCTTTTCTCCTTCCAAACCGAAGGCTACAGCAACGAGATTTCGGGCCAGTCGAAGCTCCTCACGGACGTTCTAGTCAACTTCCCCATGAGCGTGCAGGAGGTAACACTGCGACTTTCTCCTACCAAGCTGGACGTATGCAACCACGTGGACGACACGTCGGACCCGCTCAAGACAGTCAACACGAGCGTGTCCATTGAGAGCAGCGAGTTCGATGAATTCCGCGCCGCTGGCGACGGCGGCGAGGTGACTTTCTGCCTCAGGGAATTTCGCGCCTTGCTGGGATTCTGCGAGGGGCTGTGCCTGAACGCCACGCTGCATTTCGATGGCGCCGGTAAGCCGTTGCTGGCCAGCTTCAAAGGAGTGCCGGGCCTCGAGTCTAGCTTCGTCACGGCTACGCTGGCGGACGGCCCGCAGTCCCTGCCGACCACCAGGTCGGGCTCTGTAGCGACGCACCGCCATAAGGTTCCGCAGCGCCGGCCGGGTAGACCAGATCCGCCGGAACCATCGGAGAGCGGAGCTGGGCCGTCGGGAGAGCCGTCCATTGCCGCCAAGAAGAAGAAGGCCATGTTGCTGGGGCTCACGACGCCGGATCTTGACCACTTCACTTCGCAGCTGCCGCAGGACGACCCTGTGCTTGTCGAAGCCAGTGACGACGAAGGGGATTAGTATTGCTGGGGCAGAGACACGAGTGTGATGACTTTTAGCCACGCAGCAGTACAAGTTTTCTGCATTGGTTTCTTGTAAACCGAAACTGCACTAACCGTGTGCAGCCAAGTGCCTTTCTAAGACCCTCCCATGCGTTCACGCGGTGCGGCTCACACGAAGCCGTGTGCGGAAGAAAAAAATTAGAGCAGTCAAAGATGACCAAAAGCGAAGTAAATAAATAAATAAAGAAAATTGCGCCTCACTACATATTCTAACGCTTCTGCCATCAATTCACCAGGGACAGATAAACACGGGGCTTCATCCTCCCTAAAAAAGTGTAGTCGACCAACTATATCTGAATGGCATAGTTCTTCACGCCCGGGCGTTTAGTCGCCTCTCAAGTCATATGGAGAACAGCCGTGATGGTGGGGTCTCCATATGCTACGCCATTGGATGGCTTAGGAAAGTTTGGCAATATGGCGGCCAGGCGCCTAGGATGCCGGTCAAATTTTTCTCGAATCCGCGGATTAGGGAACACGCGAGCTCGCGTAAGTGGCTCTCTTGATTGGTTTCCCAGACTCGCTATTCTCTGGAATCGAGTGCAAGTAAAGTTGTCAGAACTCCGTGTGGCGATCGTTCGCTTCCCACCAGCGGACGGTGACTCTCAACTCAACTCTTAAGCTGACAGCAGCGCCACAGCTGCGCGATTCGCTGGACCAGGCGGTTCGTCAGCAACCGGAGTGCAAGGTGAGCCTCTCCACATAGGTTACACGTCGCGGCGCTTTGTATGCACCGCTCCCACACGCGAGATCGTTACAACCTCCATCCTAACCAATCGTAGCCAATTTCCTCGACGAGCTCTCAAATCGCGAAGGTCGAACAAAATGAACGACAGAAACCGAGACAACGCCGTAAAGAGGAAATGTACGTAAAATACCGAGCTTGTGCCCATGTCAGAAATAATGAGCGCCCATCCTCTGATTCTGAAGCATCTTAAAAATAAGCAAAGGACACCCCAAGAAAGTTCTGAGCACCAAGCAAACCGTGGCGTTCCTCCGCCTCAACGGCTTCCCCGAACACGCCGGTGCAAAGCGGTGAAGCTTTCGCGCGCGCGCTGTAGCGAAGTGGTGAAGCTAGTGAAGTGTGTTTTAGGACTAACCGGCATCTTATGTGAAAGTTATTAGTATATATTTTTTAATTAAATAAATAAAAGTACTCGAATACACGGAGCATTGCGGCCAGTTACCGAAAACAGGCGAAATTTCCCATTGAAATTTCAAGAAAATCAAAACTTTCGACAAGTGATAATGAAGCATAGCGCAACACTTCAGTCGAGATAAAGCCTCTTCTGCTTTTCCCCTGTTCGCCCCCCTTTTGAATGACTGCTGCACGAGAAGTGCCTTAATACCGTATTTACTGAAATATAAATCCGCACTTTTTCTTTTCTCGGTTTATTTTCTTAGATTACTGATCAACCTATAGTCGGTTACAAGTCAAGAAGGTAGGAGAAGCTCCTCCCATAAGTGTGATGCGCCCGTTTCAAATCTCTCCGCGGTCGAAAGAAGAGTTCACTGGAAACTCTCCTTGTTCCGCTTCAATGGATTCCCACTTGTCTCCGATCCCACTTTTTAAGAAAGCGACCTTTGTATTCATCGGAGAGGGAACCGAGCCCCTGAAAGCAGCCTTTGTATCCATCGGGGGGAAAGCTAATCCCCGAAAGTCGTATTTGTTTCCGTCGGTGGGGGGGGAACTCTAATCTCCCTCTCGTGGCTTCCGCAATGCTAAGTCAAAGTCGAAAGATAAAGCAAATATGTACAGAAAGGCAAGACCCTCCTCGCGCGTTGGCCGCGACGTCACGGAAACGGTGGGACGCTATTGGATGCGGAGGTGGCGTAGGGATATCTGATTCCCTTTGAGGGGCATTTGCCGCTACCTTCTTAACCTGTAACTGACTATAGTCAAGGCCAAGATCTACCAACACGCTGACGCGAAGCGGTGAAGCTCGACGCCCGCGCGCTGGTGCGAGGTAGTGAAGCCAGACACCCAGGGTGTCTAGCAAATTATTATTTTGAAACTCCCAGACTTTTTTTTAAGGTTTTTCTGACAATTGCAGGTGAAATTTTCTGACTACTGTGTAGGCGGTTAAATATATAAGACCATTATAAACATAAGGCATTTTTTATTTATAGAGCAGAATTATAATCAGCACAAATTAGGATATGTGACTAGTGTCTAATAGTGCACAAAGTTTATGCAAACAATCTGCTTTTGCTGCTTAAGAGTGTCAGCCCTTGCACAAGGGTTGTCCAAGCAAACGTCTTACTTAGGGAAGTAGATTTTTTCTTGCAAGAGACTGCTCTCCATGATTCACCGAGCAGCCTTCGCTTTTCTTCTAGTTCTTTCGCAACAGCGGCCACTCTTATTTTTCTAAATATCTGACTCCCCTCGACTTCCTCCTTTTTCTGCAATTTGTCTCGAAAGACGCTGTAGGCATTGCGAACCATCTTGTCAGTAATTTCAACCTTGTCCACGCCATCTGCTGCCAACACAGCGTTGTGCACCACTCGCTGTGCTACGAGCGATTCCTTTCAATTTTTCAACAATGCACTCTTTGTTGACTGAGAAGCCTCATTCTACGGCAGCATTACCGCGAGAGAAGCATAGGATGACCTTGATGAAAAACAGCAACTCTTTGTGACCATGCGAGCAGAGACATAGCTACAGAACATCCGGTCTCTGTTCTTTCCTGTCAAAATCTGTTTTTCCTGTGCAAGGTCCAGTGAACAGATCTGTATATAGGAACAATGGGCCTGTTCTGCTTGTAGACCAGTCACTGGTCTTTTGAAAGCCCTTAAAGTGCGACGGTCAGTTGTTTGCGGCCAGCCTCTGGAGATAATGCGAATGCTGGATCCAAGCAGCTGACACTCCTAGTTAATTTATGCTTCAATGGTGACCTAGGCATCTCCATCACTTTTCGGGAGCACACCTTAACGAAGGAAACACAGTCTTTCTTGAATTTGAGCGAGGTGAGCTGTGGTAGCTTGGACGCCTTGCCGAGCTCATTCTTTGCCGCAAACCCAACACCAAAAACGGCTACAGTTGCCTTTCACGTTGGCGTCTTTGACGTCTGGCACATGCCTCCATGCCGTAACTGCAGTGTCACTGTAGTCATGGCATGGAGGCATGTGGCAGACACTATTAACAAGTGATCTCATCAGGATCAAAAGCCCTGGCTTTGTCTTATTATAGTAGCCGGCATCCCGCTGTTTTGCAAACCTTTCTCACAACTTGTAGCTCCAGACATCACCGAAATCACCTCAAAATTCAGACGATGGCAGGGCTAGCGCGGTTGACAAGCACTCTCTACACTTCATTTTATCGAAGCGCAGCCAATGCTACGAGCCAATGGAACCTATCGAACAGAGTCAAAGGTGCGACATCATGGCATCCGTCATCTCTCTGGGAGAGTTTTCATTGGCCAAACCAATCAGGCACATTGAATGCCCCGCGACATGCACTTTTAGTGTTGGTGGTTGTTTGCATAGCCCCTGACCAAAGATGAAACAATTATATAGCAGGTGGAGACAGTAAAATATATATTTGTACCATTTTCCTTTCCTTGGACATCAAGTATTAGGACCAACCAATAATAAAATATATTTTATCTGAGCCACCTCGGCACAATTCCTGGCAAACGTGGCATTCTGGCTCAAGATGTAGCAGCCTTTCGCCCACGGTGCCATTTGGTGCAAATGGCGCAGCACTTCCAGGGCATCACTTACCATGTTTTGCATTCATGGACCATCTCCAAAAAGCTAGAGCTCAAAATAACAAGAAAAAAATTAACGTACTTACCCCTGTTGTTCCCAAACTAGCTATCCGAAGACCGAATTGCAGGGATTGTATCGGTCCAAAATTTTTGTCTATTAGTGGGGTGTCGGTATTAACGAGACATGACTGCACCATGTAATCAATTTGTTACAAAACACCCTGCAGTTCACATAGCCATGCAGATAACAAAATTGTTTGTAGGTGAATGAAAGCAATAGAGTAGCTCCCTTTCATGGGTGCCATAGTTAGAAAAAAAAAAACTGAGAAACACATGAAACCGCACAAGCACAGGTAACTTGGCAATAACTTGCCATTCAGCGCAAGCTTTACGGAGTGCAGTCGTCATAAAATGCTTGAGGCCGAAAACGCCGAGCTGCCAAGAAAGAAAGACAAAGAGAATGGGACGACAAGGCTGACTCGTTTATTTGCTGTCAATTAAATTAGGAGCACACTACAGTCTTGACATATAAAACTTTTTTTTCCTATGTACACAAGCACACTTCGTCGCCCCCGTCACCCTTGGCGCCCCTGCATCAGGCACGGTTACACCTAAGGCTTTGTTAATCGGTCCCTAGGCAAGCACGAGGTTATCTACACTAGGAGGCACGGCGGAGTCCCAAGGGCAGGCCAACGTCTGCCGGGGTGTTCCCAACGCCGGGGGGAGGTGCGTGCAACCCGCGCGGGAGACGCGCGGCAGCAACAACCAAGCGGGTGCGTTGACCCGGCCTGTCAAAACCCTTCCAGACTTTCGTGGTGAAGAAGAAGAAGCACTTGTCAGACACCTTTATCCGAGACTCGTGCGGACGAGAGGCTGCCACCAACCGAGCCTCGTGGGGCTGCGCCGACTGTAGTCTCAACACCCTCCAAAACGCTCGGCATGGGTTAACGAAATTACCCGAATGCAAAACGAGGCCCACGGAGTTATCCTTGTAAAGGGGTCCAAGGAAACGAGGAAAGTCGGCCCATTCGACGTCTTATTTTGGCGCGATATGTACGTGTGAGCATGTTCCGTGTGGTAGCACGCACCGGTTCGAGGAAATTGTAAAGTTGAATTGCTGTTTGGCTGCGCCTCGCCGGACAACCCAAGGCGGTCGCACGGCGCGCACCCAGTTCAGCTCGCGGCGGCCTCTCCCGCACGACCTTCTCCTTTAAGCCAAACGTCTGGGCTCTTAAAATAAAATAAAAAAAAAAAAGACGAGGAGGAACAATGGAGAACTTCCCCCACAATCATCAGGCAACTGTGTGCAGTTATAAATACAACAATTATTTGTGAGAGACACTATAAAAAGAAGGCAATATACACGGGCACCACGTCTGCATATTTACATAATCCTCGAGGGGCGCTTTCCTCTTTTTGTTCCGAAGACACCGAGTTTTCTGCGGGGAATTCTGCCTCAATCATTTCTGCCTGGTTCCCGGCGCCCGCCTTCGCCTCTCTCGAGGGGCATCACCTTGCACCCTCTCACGGCCCTCTCTGTGGAAGGGAAAGGCTTCCCGCCCTCGATGGACGGGCAACAGCGCGGATCGACCTGCAGTGTCTGCGAGCGCGACCCTCGGCTAAAGTGGCACGAAAGAGAAAGAGAGAGAGAGAGATGACCGTCGGGGTCGACATGCGGCTCGGGTTCTCTCGAGGAAGGTCGGCGCGACATAGAACGCTCGATCGGGCATCCGTATGTACAGGTGCATTTACAAAGAGCCGCAGGGCACTAGAAGTACACTGCGTTAGGCACGCTGGCGTCCGACGCCTCCGCTTCCTCCTCGGGCGGGGGCCTGTCGTCCCGCGCCGGGGCGGCCTCCGAGTGCTCGGGCTCTTCCTCTTCGTCCAAGTCGGTGGTCGGGCAGCAGCAGAGCTGCTCCTCGCAGGTCTGCACGCAGGCCTCCCGCATCGGCTCCGGGGTTGGCCCGCGCTCCAAGACCGGCTCCGCGACGAGTGCGGTGGACACTGTCGTTTCGGTCGGCACGGGGGTCGTCGGGGCCTCGGCGGTGTCTGCGACCCCGGAGGAACCAAGTCGTGCTTAGTTCAAACACGGAACGAGAAAAGGTGCAAGACGAGGCAAGACGCACCATTTGCAATTAGTTCCCTGCTAAAAGAAGATACTGCCGATAGTACCAAAGAGTGCTTTCGGCTTTCTTTATGGTACGCTTTATTTTCGTGAATTGCCGATACCCTACAGTTTCTGAAGTGCAATGTTCGGTGTCGTCTCCTTCCAATTCTGTGCGGCAAACCTTGCTTGACAGAATTGGCAACTCTTGCGCAGCTATGGTGCTGCGCGAGGAGACTCATTTAATTTTGTGCCTTTTATCTTTCCCGCTTCAACCCTTACAAAGAAAGGACTTGTACGACAAAATTTTACTAATCCCGCGAAGTTCATTACAAGGGCATTTAACTGTATACATTAAGGCATCTACCACGCATGTTCCTCTCGTGACAGAAGGGGGAGCCTGCCCACAATTCGATAATGAGTCCTTACGCCAGAGAGTCACATTTTGTCATTTTCTTGCACCCAAGAGGAGCAAGAGAATGCCGCTACTTTTTCCACCGTCCTTTGGGCGGTGCGAGACTGCGACGGACGAGGGGACCCACCCAGGTCCTCGACGGGTCCCAGCTGCTCCCAGTCGGGGTTCTCGGAAGAGGCCACGGACACAAAGCTGCAGGGGCGGGAGGAGCCCTCCCCGGAGGCGGAGGGCGGTAGGGGCAGGGACCCGAGGAGCAGTTGCTGCTGGGCGCCCACCTCACGAAGCCGGCTCAGCTCCTGGCGCAGTTGTTGGCGCTCCTGCTCCAGCTCGGAGATGCACGGCTGCGGAAGGAAGTGCCATCAACGTTGGTTACTGCTCTCCTCGTTGAGGCGCTTGGGAATGTTCACAAAATGGGGACGCCTCCTCGGCTCAGACACTCAGTGAATCAAACTTGAGAAGGTGCCATCTAATTTACGGGAATGTTCGATTCGGAAGCCCACACTTTACGCCGAGATTCCAGCGCGTAGATGAATTTCTTCCTTTCTTTAGAATGAGCCTTGGAGTCCTTACTCCAACTCTGTAGTCTTTGCGCTCGGCATTCTTACAAAATGTTTCTACTACAAGGACAGTTTCACCTAACGTGCAAATGGATTTGATTCGAAAGCGTTACCAAGTGTAAATTCCATTTAGCGTCCACATTCCAAAGTCATGGAGCAAGTGTTCTCGTAAGTGCTTAACGTTTTTTGTACACGTACCTTGCATTTGCCACCTTGAAGGGTTCGAGGCAAAAAGCCAAAAGATTCAAACCCACCAATGAATTCCTGTCAACAAGTTTGAATCTCAGCCGAAGTGCCTGCCGTTCAACGGAGGCTCATTACAGTGATAGCAGAGTATAGCTGAGATTTCGGCTCATCGAAAGATCCTTGGGTGGCCTCTATTGATTTATACTCGGGCCTTCACTGAGGGATGCTAGATTCTTTTCCACGGTCTGAAATGTAAACCCCCAAAATCCATATTTCTCTTTTTTTTCACTTCTCATACTCGCCCAGATGATGACTGTAAAGCAACACTCACTGCCAGCAGGCTCAGGTAGCGGATGAGTGGGGTGGCGACAGACAGCAGCTTATCTGTGGTGACGCTGGGAGGTACCGCTCTCCGTACTAGTTTGGGCGAGGGGGCAGCTGGACAGTCGTCTGCAACCACTGCATGCGGGACACAATGAGCATCGAGTCACTTTGCAGCTATGTGCCCGTAGCCTCAGTTATAGACCAGTGTCTGCTCTGTTCCATGCGCCGGCATGTTTGTTTATGCTGACGCCATGACACAGTAGGGGGGCAGCGCTTTTTGCGAGACTCGGTTTTTTGAGAAACCTTCGCACACATCGTAGTGCAAGAACGTCAGAAATGCATATTGAAACTCCCAAGAAACACACCGATGTCAGGAGTGCTGTAAAAAGCAATAACCTTCTTTTATGCGTAGCCCCTCTCTCTACAAGAGAATGCATTCGAGATTATATTTCCCATTTTTATCGCTGGGGGCTAGGATTTCGAACACTGGTCTATACTACCGTATTTACTTGCATAATAAACGCACCCCCCACAATATTTTGACTTTTTTTTCACTCCCGTAATCAATGCACCTCCAATTTTCGGATCCGCAAGTCTCGAATTGCGTCCAATTTAGCAAGCCACCAAGCCAGGTTTCTTTTACCGCCAAGCGGCCAAGCCAAGTCAAGCCAGGCCAGGCCGCTCACGTCACACTCACCGTAGCTCACGTTATGGCGTAGTTGCCGTAGTTACAAAAGTGATGAACCGTGAAACCAAGTGTCACGCACACTTGACGAAGCTTGAATCAAGGAATTGCCAAGCCCCGTATATTCTTCGCCTATCGGATGCATTAATGTCAACAAACAAGCCGTCGTCTGTGGTCTGCTTTCGGACAGTCAGATCATGAAAGTGGTTAGGCCTCATTTCACATACTCCGGGTAAATGCGTTTATTTAATCCGCAGCAGAATGGCACAGCGAGATGCACGTTGCGCTGTAGGCTGAGTGTGGGGTAGCCTCTCCGTGAACAAAACTTGATCTGTGCACGCGGGCTTTGTGGGTTGCGGTTATATGCCTCCTTTGTTCGCGTATCGTTGCAGTGTCTTGAATTGACCGTTTTCGATTACTCGCGACAGAGAGGGTTTCTGGCAGTTGGACTTCGTACAAGTTCCTGTCTCCGTGAATGAAACTTGATCCATGCGAGCGGGCTTCAGGGGTTGGGGGTCGGACTTCGTACGAGTTCTTATAGACGCTTTGCAGCAGCTGTACATGGGCGCCGCCATAACTAACCTTCAGTTTTTGTTTCCTCTTATTGAATTTGCCTCACTTCATCATTACCATAGCAGGCCAGGTTATGGCCACCTTAAATTCTATTGCGTCCTTCTACCCAGCATTGGCCTTTGTGGAAGCTTGTCAACACCCGTTTCAGTGGCTCGGTATCTCCATAAAACAAAAGAAGGTCAGCAATGGCGGCTGTAATCTGGTGCGTGTGTAAAGCGTCTATACACATAGTCGCTGATTATACCTGAGTGTGCGGTCGGGAATTGGACTTCGTACGCGCAGTTGCGGATTATACCTGAGCGTGCCTGCCGGATACTAGCAATATATATCGCCTAAGAACGGTTGTGGTTGTGTCGCTTTTCGTGCTGAGTGAGCTTCGTAGGGCGCTTTTCCTTCGGCAAAAAGCACCCCAAAAGCGCCCTAAAAAGATTTGCAATTTATAAAGCATGGTTATTGTGGCGCGCCCCAGACCGGCCGTGGGTGCGCCTCCATCACTGGAGACGTGCCACACTACCTTGCCGTGTCATATTGGCACCTGATATGACATCTGCATGAAGTGTGTAAATGCAAAAATTTTACCCCGGGTAATAAACGCCCCCCCAAATATGTGTCAATTTTTCGGGCAAAAAAGTGCGTTGATTATGCGAGTAAATACGGTACTGAATTAAGGTCAAACGAGGTATTAAAGGAGCCCTTTGGAGCCAAAAAGCTTAAAAACCCTGCCCCAGCACACCAGTAAAGGCCAAATGAATATTTACTCTTGTATTGCCCACACTGGTCTACCCACTACAGTCGAAATAAAGGCAATCTGCAGAGCAAGTCATCTGCTCCTTTCTCAGAAGTTGCGGTTTTGTCAGAAGGATGCCGAGCCCCGATTGCCCTTGAGTGAAAGGACAGTGGGTAGGCCTCAATGCCAAATGCCTCGTGGTCGAACCACTCTTTGTTTCGATCAGCCAATAGGAGCTCGTCGTTCCAAAGTCACAACAACCCCTGCTGAGGAAGCAGACAAACTTGTGATTCGCATACATTATCTCTGCCTCATCATGTGCTGTGCAGATCACAATGTTTGCTGTTAGTGTGTTCTGCAAGAAAGCAGTCACAAAGCAATTAAAAAAAGCCCATATCTGAGCTTTCAAGATGCAACATATCCTTCCATAATGCCTACTAAAAATGAAAGACTAGCAAAATGCTCCTAGGCTAGAAGAAAAATGTGAATCTTTTTAGATTGTTCTCTTATGCCCCTTGGGCCAAAGGTCTAGCACTCACCTTCCACACTTGCAGCAGCAACCCTGTCCTCTTCCCTGATGTTCATGGCCTCATTGACAAGTTTTGGCAGTCGGTTGGCTGAAACACCCACAGAGATTGTCGGTCATTTGACCTTCTCACACTTCACGACTTGCAATGCAAAGTGTGACAACCGTGCCAGTGCTGCTTTCCTACTATCATAAATGTAAGTTTGGTATCACTGCTGATTAGACCAGTGGTTTTCCACAAACGGTGCGCATCTTACTAGTGGGATGCAGTGCAGATTACGCTATCTCTACTTTTGGGCACAAAGTGTGAAGCTCTTCCTGCGCTTGTTTTGATTGTAGGCTCTGGGCATCTGTGGTTGATACAAGCAACTACTACCTTGATGCCAACTACAGGCAGTACTGCTAAAAAAGTTCTGCAAGGTTTCAAACTTATCCGTATGTTGCTTTTTAGCAGTGCACCTATGGCTACACTTTGTCTAATTAAAAGGATTTTCAAAGGGGAATAAGTTTTTTTTTTACATTCTAGAAAGTGCCATTAGAGTTACAGATTAGCAGTGGCAATCTTCTGCACTCAGCTTTTATGCGAGCGAACAGATGCTTGCAACTACATGCAATCTTCATTGAAGTCTAAATTGACGTACCATGATAGGTGATCTGCAGGAGCAGCTCCATGACCCCCTTCTCACTGTTCATCTCCTCCGAGATCTGTGCAAGGCATCAGAACAAACGTGAAAACTCTTGGCAAAAGCCTAGAGCAATAGCTGGATGCATCTCTACCGTCAGTCACCAGTGTTAAGTGTGAACGCACATTATAATTTCGCATTTCACGTCTAGTTGAGTGAGACTTGAAGAGTGGCTATTCATCTGCGACCAAAGCTGCTTGATCAAGTTAAGAGACAACATAAAACCAGGTAAAAAAAAGAGGGGAGTCCAAGAAGAGATTGACAAACAAAAAGGAGAACATCATATTGCTACCTTTGGGATTAGTACTATCATAAGCAGACTAATGACTGCATTGCAGCATGTTTTCTATGCCTGGTGCCCAGACCAATGTGTCTATTTACAACGCAACAATAATGCCACTTACTTCTGCGATGTTCTCAAAATCATCCTTCGGTATTCTCAAGATTTCGGCCATTAAATCTTGCTTGTCCGCGAGAGCAGTCAGGATTTCTTGGTCCTTCCTACGCAACCGCTCTGCAAACAGAAACAAGAGGAGTTACCTCATATTTCACCCAGTTCGACATTCAAAACATATCCCCCAAATAGATCATACTATCAGGCTTCTAGACTTTTAAAGGTTACTTACTGAAAGTTTTAGTATTGTAAAAAAACAAAAAAACACGTAACCCCTCCAGAATCGTTTCTGCCGAACCAGCATAAAAACCCTCGGATGAGCAGCTAAAAAATAAGGCCCTTTCCAGACGATCGCTTCTTCATACTCAGTAAACCTACACTGGAGGCACAACCCTCATTCAACACTTCCGTTTCCCAGTCTCTGTTTCCAGCTCCATTTCGAATGGAAGACACAAAAATCTGTTAGCTGAACATGGAAATGATAGCTACCTTGTCTTTCTCAGATTCTCTACCTTACACCACTGCAGTGCCCATATATTACACCAGGGGGTTCTCAAACTGGGTTCCGAGGAACACAGGGGTTCCACGAGCTGGTCTCATTGGTTCCGCGAGCACCCCAACTGCAGACACCCCTCCCCTCCCTCCTGCCCCCCCCCCCCCCCCCTCCTCCTCCTCCTCTTCCTCCTCCTCCTCCTCCTCCTCCCGTGAACACCCCAACTGCAGACCCCCCTCCCTCCTCCCCCCCTCCTCCTCCTCCTCCTCCTCCTCCTCCTCCTCCTCCTCCTCCTCCTCCTCCTCCTCCTCCTCCTCCTCGCCCCCCCCACGCCACAGGCTGCGTGGCAGGACCATGCAAAGCGCCTTCATCTCACTTTGCACTGACATTGCGATTGATATGGTGGGGATATATGGGAAGCAACCCAAGCAAAACTGCCTACAATTGTGCATCTGTTGCTTCTCGGTCGGCAAATATGGAAGGGGGGGGGGGGAGCGGGGTTCCGCAGCAGTTTTTGAGGCTTCCTGGGGTTCCGCGAGACCAAAAAGTTTGAAAACCCCTGTATTACTTCTTTGTGCCACATTGGCTTTTGCATTTGACCCCTGGCTATTTTCCAAAGCAGAGTCAGAGATGCTCGGGGGCATTCGAAATGTTCACAAACAGGTTCGACAGACACTTTCCCGAAACTGGTTTGGCAAGGATTCACAGTGACAGCGGGAGACCCACTGACCGACGGGTGTGAGCACGGGTTCGGCTGTCTCGAAGGGGGCGCTGGGTCGCACCACCACCTCTTGGAAGTCGACCAGGCTTAGCCCCTGCGCCACCTGGCTCGCCTCGATGCGGGCCGGTCCGGCAACCGGCACGGGGGGTTCGCCCCCGTCTCTGCTCGGCTCCTCTGCGTTCATGTCTGGCTGGGCAGTCTCTGCCGGGGGTTCCTTGGCTGCAGCTTCTTCTTCATGGGGAGCTGCAGTGCTCGCAGAAACTTCTTCTTCGGCGTGGTCCTCCTGGGGTGCTGATTCGGGGGTGGTCCTGTTCGAGGAATGGGAAAGCTCTGCTTGCAAAAACGTACCAAAAAACCCAAAGCAATGTGTTTCAGAAATGAAACACCCCAGAAAAGAAGCACTTCGATACGAAATGTCCCAGAAAAGAAACATTACAGTCGCCGACCGATTATTCAGATTTCGCAGGGACCAAAAAAAAACATCCGAATAATAGAGCAGTCCGAAAAATCAGGAGATTGAAAAACTTGCCTTTATTACTTCCAAGTGGGCTTAAAAAAGCTGTTAATAGTGCTTGCTTCAGGTTACGCCTGCGTGCCTTGTTTTAGGTTACGCCTCCGTGTGCGTTCGGCAACTTTCTGTTAGCTTGAGGATCGCTGCTTTCTTTTCTAGCGTTATGGTAGAGTACTTTCTGCGCTTCTTAACTACACATCACAGCAACAGAAGAACAGATGGGGCCATGACGTCCAAGCCAGCGTTGTCCGAACGAGATGACAGGTGCAAATCCACGACCGCAAAATGGTGACCGGCAACGTGAAAGTGGGGCGGAGGTTGCGAAGGGGTAGAAGGGACCAGAGCAAAATGATAATGATGATGATGATGATGATGATGATGACATGCAGCTAAGTGAAAAAAGAGGGCTAGCATAGCGTCACCTGGTGGTAGGACTCGACAGTACCCAAGTAGCACTGCCAAACAAAGCCAATCCATTTGCAGCCAACATAGAATTCAAAATGGCTGCTTCTCGGTGGTGTTTCCAGCTGATTGCTCGCGACGATTTTGTCCGAATAATCAAACTTTCGGACTTCAAGCTGTCGAAACATTGGTCGTGAATATGTATTATTTCTATAGGGCAAGTCAAGGTTCCTCCTTTAGGTCCAAAATATTGAACAAGTCCGAATTATCGGAGTCCGAAAAAACGGTCGGCGACTGCATGTTTATAAAAAAAATAAAAATCATAAAATTGCAGTCAGAAAACATCATAAAAATGAACAATCAAAAAAAAAAAAAAAAAAAAAAAAAAAGAGAAAACGCTTAGAGAAAAGATCCCAAAATATGAAATGTCCCGAAAACTAAACATCCCTGAAACAAAATGTCCTTGACTTCATTTCCAAGGAAATGAAGTCAAACCTACGCACACTCATTCCTTTCTAGACACCCCCACAGGACGTTGCCCTTGAGTATGCTATGGTTTAGTTTCTTAATGTTTCCTTGCTTATTCCCGGTATTTCAGTGCAATTAATTCAAACAGACAAACTTCCTAATAGCAAAAGTCCACCACAGCCATTTCCGACAACAGCCGCCATGCTCTTGTGTGGTGGCTCTTTATTGGGCTAGTATAAATGTGGGACTTACTTTTGAGAGTCAATTGGGTGGACAGCAATGATCTTGTCTCTACAAACGAAAGTAACAGTTCCACATATTTCTTTCACCTTTGCTATCTCTTAAAAAACAAAACAAAACAAAAACACAATGACCTGGGAAACTTTGATTTCTGAATGCTAAATTGCCAAAATCATCCAACAACTCTTTGTTCCGACTCGACAGATAGCCTCGTTGAGTAATCCCTCGTTATAACGAAGTCAACAAGACGGCCAAAAAATCTGATATAAGCAGTAATTCAATAAAAGCAAGATAGCCAAAAAAAACGACAGCAGCCTTGAAGGTGGACTGGAACACTGCAGAACGCTCTGACCGTATATTTAATCAAACAAACTTCGGCTATGAAGAACTCGTGGCAGCTTGACCAAGTAAAAAAATAATTAAGTGTAGTCTGTTGATGATTTTATCCGGGCATCAGTTTACCTCGCTGCTCCAGGCATTGCAAAAACACTGTCACCACTGCTGCACTCCTTTTTGTTTTGAAGCAGACACAAAATGTTTTGTGTCTCTGCAGTCATCGGTGTTTCCAGAGGTGCCTCTCTGATGTCACTTCGTGCTTACCCTGGTCGAACGCAAGGTCTACGATTGCAGCATTCGTGGCAAGAGCAATGACGGGAACGTCCGCATCGACAAGCACAAATAAATCCAGTAATTCTCGGCAGAGATGCCGCAAACCTTTTTCGAAACTGAGGTTCGAAGATCAGACCAACGGGTTCGAAAGGTTTGCAAGGTTTTGAAACGTCGAACCTATTACATAAAAAATTCGACGATTTTCAAATTTTCATATTTTTGGCACTGAGAACATAGATTGTTTTAAAACTTCAAATTTTTTGCGCTATGAAATTGGACATTTCCGAATTTATTACGCTAAGAAATTCAACGATTTTCGAACTTGCTGAGTTCAACGAACGAACTTCCGAGCAAAAGTTCGACAAAGTTCGTACCAAGTTCATCCCCATAGGTTCCAGACAACCAATATAAATAACACAATATGTCAACGTGTGAAGTGGAGTTGAAATTGCTCTCAGTCTTACCATTAGCTGATCATGCTACAAACGACGCGCTTGTAAAGCGCTGAATGATCGCTTTGGGGGTGGCCTTGGCCTCGTACCTCACACCTTTTTCTTTCGACTTCCACACAGAGCCTCCCCAGCGCAGAACTCAGTAGGTTGCCCCGAGGTAACCTTTAGGCAGTGGCGTCATAAGGGAAAGGGAGGGGGGCGGACCGCCCCAGGCTTGAAATTCAACTGGGGCGCTTTACTGGGAGCATCCTTCATAGCATTAGTTGTTTTTGAACGCAAGTCCCTCGATTTCATAAAGTCAAAGAAAGGCGCGTGCGCAGAGCGATATTGATGCGCTACAGCGAACACTGAATCGGCGCTTACTTCATTATCATTAAGAATCGGCTGCATTTAAGAACGGCCAATATCTCCATTCATCGAAGAAGAAAAGTTCCAGGCAGCGGCAATATGGTTGGCCCGATAACAACCGGTCGTGACCTGATCAGTTGTATTAGGCTGGGTGGTCCCCTAATTTAGTCTGGTTGCATTCTCCTCAACCTTGACTTGTGTTGAGTGCTGTGCCTGTGTTTTGTCCATCCCACGGGTCATCCTGCCAAAAATAAACGCCCAGTGAAACTAAAAACTTTCAGGAAGCCTAAATGCCTCTATGTGAATGCATTGCCCTGCATACTTAGTTGTCCTATGCCAGCATTGCATTTGGGTGACGTTTTATCGGACTGCTACTAGTTTGAAAATAAGTAGGAAGTTACGTTCGTCCGACACTACACGCAGCTGATTCCTACAAGCAGCGTGCCACGTCTTCATATCGCACATGGTGCTCCGGCGGTGACATTACGCTCCCCACCGTGTAGGCGCGGTGAACCTCGCCGGCTCCACGCCTTCCGTGACGATGCATCTGCATTGCTGTGCTTTTATTTGCATTTTATTCCCGAGGCACACGCTTGATGACTGGCATTTAGATGCCGTTTCCTCAGCCAATGAGCAATTAGGTGCCGTTACACTCTGCCAATGAGACTAGGTGCCATTTTTCGTAATTACACACAACGCCGGCTGCACTCCATGGATAGTTAATGCTTTTGCATTAGTAACAAGTAATACAGGTTGTACTGTCAGTATCACAGCACTGAGCAGGAAAGGAAGGAGTATATTCACGGCAGAAGAGAAATGGGCAACTTTTTCAGGAAAATTTGTAGCACATTTCGCACTTCGGGAGGTTCGCGGCACCCCTAATCCCTATTGGCATCGCTAACATGTTTGCACACACTCCTGTAGAGATCGTTGCACCTCTGGGAATTGTACGCCAGCTCAGCAGGAATCCTTGCGAGAGAAAATCCGATGCGCGCAAAGCAATTGGCGATCTTTCATCTTCGGGTCACGAGCATGCTTTCTCTTGCACGAGAAACTCCTCGGGCCCATCCAGTATGCCTTGCTTGTTCTGCAAAATAGTGGATAGCCGTCGAACGGCCGATGCCAGAATATCTAATTCTTTGGCAATTTTGGACTCTGGCCGGCCACTTTTCTTAACCTCGCAGATCTAAGCGACTTTTGGTAAACAGTCCCACTCTCCCATATGATGCACATGTACGCCGCAGGCGCACACGTCGGGGTTTTTGAAGGGATGATCTCCTCCAGGTTCCGTCGCTCCATCGACCCGATTGCGACAGGAGTCGCGCAGCGTCCTCGGCCGCAAGCGCCGTGTGTAGCGTCGAAACGTGGACGCTGCTCCTTGGCCACACCGGAGCACTGGGATCGGAAGCAGTGCCCTGTGCACTCTGCCCCCTATCTCCCATTTGCTTTGTTTTCTTGTTTGTTGTTTTTTCAGTTCGCTGTTTGCCTTGGTGGAGAAGGGGGAGGGAACGCAATGACCTCCGTGTAGGCTAGCATGCTTTTGGCACCTCTGCCTTCGTAATAAGCATAGTCGGCCGCCGATACACTTAGAATAATCCGGTTCAGAATATGTGCATTTTGATCGGGACCATGTTGAACTTCGATAAAAGCGATAATTCGAAAAAAGCAATTTTGTTATAACGAGGGATTACTGTATATGTTTTCTTCTCCGAGGATGTATTCTTTTTTTTCTTTCGTCCGAGGTTTATTTTAGTTTGCAAATGGAAGGGATATTATTTGAAACCATTGATCAGGTTCCATTTTATTTTGTCCAATAAACTCCAAAATAAGAAAAAAGCCACTCTCCCCTTAATATTCGGTAAGGGTATTTTCTTCACCTTGATTAACAAAATTAGAAGAAAAAGCAGCCTGGGAAGGCTGGAGAAGAGTTCAGCAACCTTGAACAAAGAAAGCCCCATATTCTTTTTTTTACTGATAGACCTGTTCGAACTAGTTTTTTCACCCTTCTCCAAATCGTTTCACTTGGGGCAGTTATCCCAAAACAATTTTTCATGGGGAAAGATTATTCCCCTGCTTTTTTCTAAAATCAATACTTTGCCTCAAAGAAGGAGCAAGTTCATATTTTGGACACGGGTGTCGAATTGGGATATCACTGCACATTTGAGTACAAAAGAAGAGCCAAATGTGCCAAGGTGCACATGCCTCATTCCTGCATGTTAAAGCCACTGTGAATGTGCCTCTTTATTTAGAGGATGGCATGTAAACCACAGTGACTCACTCGTAAGACTTTAAGAAATTAAGAGTTTTTTCTTCGTCCCCATAAAAACAAACCAAACGATCCAATTAAGAAAAAAAAAAATGTTTTCTCTCCAATTATTTTTGGTGGAAGAAGGGGCAAACTTTTTTAGGGTCCCACTCACTCTAGCGTGCTGTCCACGGGGGGTTCCTCCGTTGACCCCATGCGCTCCGAGCGCTTCTGCTGCGACTGCTGGCGGTTGTGGGGCCTCAGGGCCTCGTTGATGTGGTGAAGCCAGCTGCGGAGAGAGGCAGACGTTTAGGCTACCTCAGCATAACCTTCCAAGTAACAAACTTGTTTCAAGCTGACTTCCCAGAAGCTACAACTTCCAAGACATGGGTTTTCAAACCGGGTTCCCAGGACCCCAGCCTGTAAATCCGTCATCCTCGGGCGATTCCATTCTCTAGGAAATACTTTCTAAGCTATAGCACAGCCTAGCCAAGGCATGTGTTGATCGTGACCACGTGCCAGACACTCGTCATGTCTCCCCTTGCAGCCACAGCTTTGTTAACAAAGTTAATAATGCTGCCTGTGCACACTTAGTACAATCGACACAGCGCACAAAAAACGAAGATAAAGTAGAAGGGTGTACAGAAGACAAGCATATATTTCGATGTAGCATGGGCAAACATAGTTCAATGTTACCGCGTGGGCTTGGCTAAACAGCAATTTTTAAGGGATTCATGCAAACGCTCTTATTTTCCTAACTAGCTTGCATATAAAGCACTATGACACATCAAAATGTGGCCAATTAGTTGTTCTTTCAAAAGAAACACAGGTTGGTATAATGTGCGGAAAGGATGTTAAAATTTTATTTCTTGAAGATACAACGTATGTGCAGAAGGTGCATTAACGCTGAAACTTTTACAGCTGTCAAATTAAACGGCAACTAAGAAAAATTCAGAATACATAAAATGTGCGCCACACCCGCGGCTATTACTTCTAAAAGTTAGTGTACCCTAACTGACAGTGTCTATTTTTGGTTTGTCGGACAATTAGCCTCCGTGACACATGTGCTTTTCAACGACGGATGCTTATATTGATGAAACACAAATAGTTTGGTGAAAATTGATGAAACACAAATCTCCAAACACAACTAGGTGACTGGTGTGCGATTGAAAAAATCCGCCCGGTCCGGGAATGGAACCCGCGACCTCTCCATTTCCAATGGAGCGCTCTAACACCCGAGTTCAGCTGCAATCTAAAGCACTTCTTTTTGCACTAAACTGATTAGATAAAGAGTAACTAGCTACAACTGAAAGTAATTATCGTCCCATTTATTTTATTTTCACAATCGCAATTTATTTATAATACAACCGCTTTATAAACACTATTAGCTTTATGATGTATGATAGACCCTGTGAAATCAATATATGTTGTTAGAAGAAAATATTTTTAGTAAAAATTTATCTTAACGATCCCTAAGAAATGACCTATATTCTGCAATATTGCCACGTGCGTCTCCAAGCAAGCGAACCCGTGGCCGAATGGTTATCGTGCTTGGCTCTCACGCAAAGGGCCGAGGTTCGATGCCTGGGAGCGGATGCACCTATTTTGTTATTTTTGTAAATGTTTCGCTATGGTGAATTTGAGAACCCTATTGCTTAATCAAGGTCCGAATGTTCTACGTGCCAAACCTTTTACGGCGATTGTTCCAGAAGCCCACGTCTGCGCATAAAGAGCTCCGCGTGGCGAGCCGGAGTCGGTCTCGCTTCAGCATTCGACCCCGACAGTTGCGGCGACTTCGACGCTTGCGATGCTACTAGTTTTCTTTTGTTTTCTTGGCACAAGTTCGCCACATTACATGTTTAGTTTCCTTCAGTTAATAATCGCCTTATCATTTGTCATTTGTGACAATATTTTGTGTTTGACAAAAAATATTTCAAATTCAATAGCAGACTCAAATACCGCATTATGCGATACATCTACATACTGCACTTGAGCGACGAGTCCAAACTCACTTCATCTTCTCTTTGGCGGAGGCGGCGGCAAACTCGTACATGGCATGCTGTTCGGCGGTGGAGACGAGAAAGAAGGCCTTGCAGTCTGTGGCCACGTCGCGCGTGAACACATTCTGCAGCGTCAGCACGGGGCAATGGGTGAGCTTGGCATCTTCGCGGGCCGTCGGGAGGTGCACCGCGTGGAAGCGCAGCAGCAGGCGCTCGTCCTGGCGCTGGAGCAGGACCAGCATGTCCTCCAGGAGCAGCAGCTGCACCTCAATGGCCTTCTGCCTCGGCAGGCGCCACACCAGGGGACCCTCATAGAGAAGGCGATGCTGCCGCAGGTCCAGGTTCTGCACCGGGTGGAGGGGACAAGTCAGGGTGCGTTGGTACGGCACCCGGAGTGAGTCTCCGGCCGGAGCGTTCACCGCTTCTAAAACAGTGGTTCCTCGGTTTCTGCTCGACAACGTCGTGAAAGCTCAACGCAATCGCCGACTGCGATCCCGGTGATTTCAGGTGACGTTCGTTACGATTTTAGAATATGACCTCTTGCGCTTTAGGTTCGGTGGCGGAAAACTTGGGCGACGTCGTCGTTTTGTTCTGTCGCGGACTGTTTTGACATCGATGAAGGACGGAAAGCTGTTTCCTCCGATTTCGGACAAAGCTTTGGACAACTGGCAACAAGGAAGTGCCGAGGTGGCCGAAGTGTCGTTCTTTCCAACCGTAGCCTTTTTAGTGACTAGCGCCGCCTAGCTCGAAACATTTTAAGCCTCCCTAATTCCACCCCTATTTCATTCCCCTTTACACCTTTGAAACTTTGACTTGCACGTCTACTGGACGACCGACTGCCCCATCTAACCCTTCTTAATGTCCATCCTTCTGTCCTGGCTAGCGAAATCAAGAGCCTGCGCTCCATTTATTAACCCCCCCCCCCCCGGTGACGACGGACTAGGTCCTTAAGTGCTTTCAAACCTCAAGCTCGACTGCTTCCTCATCACTTCTGCATAGGTTGAACAGTGTGTATGATCTCAAATGTAACTCAATAAATTTTAGCTTTTTCCAATTACGTTGGTAACAGTCCCTCGTTTCCATTTATAAAAAAAAAAAGGCGAGCGAATGGCGAAACACCCGCAAAAATTAAATCTCGATGCAAATTGCATTTCCAAGGCAGAATGCTATCGGTGCTTCATTGTTCGCTGCTCTCCTTCCATAAACGTCAATGACAATCAGAAGTGCAGGGAAGCTTGTGCAACCTATGGGACTTTACTATAGTCGACTCTCATTAATTCACTCTCTTAAATCAAACCTGCGGATAATTCAATCTAACATGATGTCCCATCCTATGCGTCTCTACGGGAGGAAACTCCTAGTAATTCAAACATTGCTTTATTCAAACAAATTTTTGGTCCCTTTCGAGTTTGAATTAACGAGATTCGACAGTATACTGGGACAAGAATAGAAATATACTTGGAACATTTCAAATGACCTACAGTAAAATACCGTGGAAGCCCCCACTATTACCATTTCCCAAACTTGGGAATTCCGCAAATTATATGTTAAGTGACAGATTTGACCGCACAAGCACCCATGTCTAGATTATTCCAGTTTTCAATGAAGGTGAGGTGGGCGTTTCCCCCGCATCTTACGGTAGTTTACATAATATCATTGGCAAATGTATATATAACATTTTGGGAAGAAACAGCGGCAAAGAAACTTGGACAAGAGTAAAAGAACAAACACGACAGGACGGCGCTGACCCAAGATGTTCACCTCAAACTAACAAGCACAACACGTCACATTGTTAAAGTTTATATATAACAGCATACAGTATAGACCACTTACAACGTAACCGCTTATAGTGCAGGACCGGGTATAACGCGGCTTTTTTAAACCACCGGTTCGCCTCCCATAGAACTCCATGTAATTACATACTGCTTAAAATGCAGGCGCGCAAAGGGAAAAACCGGTTATAGTGCGGTTTTCGGAACAGCCCGGCGACCGCGCCGACCGACCGACGCAGAGAGCACGCTTCCCTGTGCGACACTAGATAACGGCGCGAGCCGAGCGGCACTCGCAGGGCAAGGAGGTTGCTCGATGAAGCGAAGAGAGAGGCTTCAGTTGCCATGGCGACGGAGGGACGCACACACATGTCGTTCACGTGCGTGCGTCCCTCCGCTGCGTTGGAAAACAACCGCAACGACAGACCAATCGCAGGTCGAGGAAAAGTGTTCGCGCGCGTTACATGCCGGTCGCGGGCCGGCTGCTTCTATCCGCGAACATGGCGTCGGTTTTGATCGTTGACGTAGACTGCGCAGCGTAGAAGCTCATCGTTCCGCGTAAAAGCGCTATCCTTGATTGTGAATTTTCGTTGTGTGTCGCTATGATAACCCAGCACGTACTAGAAGGGAACATCCACCTACTCGTGCGGCGATTTTGTGGCGGCACTCTCAAGACAAAAGAAACGCCCGTGTCGTCGTGTTTGTTTACTCCGACTACAGTGGTGCTTTCTAAACATTTGTGTTTTCGAACATTGCCCGGATTTCTTATTTGGAGCATTTCATGCCTGTGCTCAAGTTGAAGGTATTACGGGCGCGTACCGTATAAGGGATGCGAATTTTCACGCGTTTTCATCGCCGGAGAAAAGTGATTAGGGTTAGCAATCGTGAACGCTCGCAACGTCCGTCCGCAACCCCCGACGCCGTCAAAAGGCTGCGCCAGGCAAAAGTCGCTCATTTCTTTCAAAATGTGTGACACACTCGAGAGAGAAGTGTACTAGTCTGGTGTAATAAAAAACTTTCCTCAAACTAAAGCTTTATTTTTCATCTAACATAAAATAAATTCTTTTAGAAAGGTAAGTTGTCTGATGGCATGCATTTTGGCTTGAAAAATTGATATTTTGGTTATAGTGCGGTACCGTTTATAGTCCGGATTTTCGCGACTCCCGTGACATACGTTATATGCGGTCTACACTGTATTTGCGTATCTTAAACAGATGGCTGCGCTCCTTATTTCAAATGCCCCACTCCGCCAGGCACGGCAGAGCAACCACCGAAGTGCTAGGCACACCTCGAAACATTTGCGATGTGACCTGTTTCGACATGACTGCTACCGGCTTGGTTGCGAGCTGATCCTTGACGGGCATTATGCCACCGCGCCATCAAAACTTTGCGTTCTGAGGCCTTTGCGTACCTTGAATGCTTGGCTGACGGGATGCTCGACTTTGTCGAAGGCGCTCTTGTCGAGGCGGCGCTGCAGCTCGGCCAGTCGGTGCTGGTTCTCGGCCTCCCTGACCGCCTGGTTCACGTGAGCCAGAATGCGCTTGCTGCACTCCAGTGCACGCATGAGTCGGGCGTGCTCTTCGGACGCCGCTGCGGTGTGCTTGGCCACATTCTCCAGCAGAAGCGGGTACTTGGTCAGGCGCTGGAAGACCGTGGCCACCATGTCCTTGAGTTGCAGACGGCGACACAACGGGTCCATCTCCCTCTCCTGCGGGGAATGGCAGTTTTTTGTGAGAACGCACCCTCGGGGAAGCTGACCAACGTGTAGTAGGGTTAGTTGCCATCAAGATACCGTGCTTTTTCCCTTGCTGCCTAGCCGGGGTTTGTCAGGAAGAGTCGCGTGCGTTGAAACGCAGACTGCCCCGAGCATTGAGCGCGACGTGTGATGGCTGTCACCTCTCGCAAGTGCTGGCCACCCGAGTCAAAAATCAATATTAAAATTTTATAGCGTTTCTTTTTTATTAGTGCAATGTTTAAAAATTTTATAAGGCAAAAATAAACCCTCAATGAATACTTTTGCTTGCTAAGAGAGGGAAGGTGCCAACTTTTCTGGCTCCAAATAACACCACCACGCAGTTGTAAAAAAGGACGCACCTCTTTTTCCAATTTGGGGCCAATATTTACGAGGAAGCTAAATCCCCAGAACTTGGAATAAAAATTACGACATAATTTATATCTCCACAAGCAAATGTTTGACAAACTTTTTACAACTGTATGGAACCAAATATGGAATTAGAATATATTTACTGTAATACCCAAAGAGATGGCCCATTTCAAAAGATAGCCTACTCATGCCTGTGGTTTAGAAAACCACAGAAAGACAATTCACACCTAGAGATCACGTTATCTTGGTTCAGGCAATTTGTGCCACAAGATAGGCAATCTATGTTTTGACAACAATAGTGACAGTTCCCCTGAAAATTTAAAAGGCAATTAAACAAACTTCTCTATTTGTCTTTTAACATGACTAATGACACTGTCTAGGGCAGCTGATAAGAGCATGGGAGAATAAAAAACCAACTAAAGCATTCTGAACAAAAAGTTAGAGTTCAAACAAGCTGGTGAAGGTTTAACATTTTAGACAAAACCCTGAACGGGGGGGGAGGGGGGGGGGGGGGGGGGGGGGCAACAAAACAAAAAGTCTCAAACACAGCCTTTTTTTTTGCTTTTGCTTTTTTTTTGGTTTTTGTAGAAGATTGATAACTTTTGGGATACTACTATTGCTGCAATTGCAAGCGGACTTCAATGAGCCATTACAGGCTTGCTAAACTAATTCTGCAGTCTGAATAAACAAATATAACTTTCACTTGATCCACTCTAACGGTACCAAGCTGATAATGACAAATAAACCCCTTGGGCAATCAACCCAGGAAGTGGTGATGCATGCCTTCGGGAAGGTCTTGGGCCAAGGAAGCTTGTGTACTCACCGCCAGGAACTGGGCGAGCTTCTGGTCCTTCTTCTGCTTGCTCTTGAGGCTCTCCAGGGCAATTGACTGGTTCTTGCAGAAGGTGGCCACCGCTCGCTTCAGGTTCTCCCCAGACTCACCGTCCAGCTGGGGAGGACATGAGAGGGACGTCACATGGAGCTTCACATTTAAAGTCACACATTAAGTAATGGGCTCATATAGAAGTGCAGCCAGTGCTGCACCAATACTCAGTCCGATTCGGGCGAAGCACACGGCATCACCTGAGAAAAGCAAATCACTTTTTTTTTTTTTCACACGGCAAAAATAAAAAATATAGAACTGAAGGCTCAAACTTTGTGTAAATGCAGCACCAACACTAGAGCTAAAATGCCAAAAGTTCAGAACCTGGCATTATCTGATTTGGAAGGGGAGCCTGTAAGTACATAGGAATGAATATTGTTTCCCGCCAAAAACAAATGCCATTTTCTTATTAAACATTTAAAAAAATAGATTCTAAAGTTTAAATCGGACAACGTTGAGTTCTAGAACTTTGGAATCATATTCGAACTGCTAGAGCCACGATTGGGTGAAGTCTATAGAGCATCTAGCCATGGTAAACTTTTGAGAGTCGACTGCTGAGAGCCGAACTGCCAAGAGCCAACTGTAGAAAGAGGCCGGCCGGCCGGGACTGAACGGCCACTGACCATGTCCAGCATCATCTTCCCGATGTCTCCAACGAGGGGCTCTTGTCGACGCCTGCGCTTCATCTTTTCGTTGAACGACTGGTGAATCTCCAACAGTTCCTCCAAGTTGGGAAATAGAAGGTCAAGCAGCTCTACGCCCAGCACTGGCTCTTGCTGTAGTCGTAGAGGTTGGTGGAACAGGCGCATCAAGATCTTCAGGTTACGCACGTGCGTACGCTCCGTATGGAACAGCTCTGAAAGCACCAAGGGCAGGACAGACAACACGGTCAGTTTGTAGGAGGAACAGCACGTCAATTAACTGGTTCCCCCCTTAATGAATCCTTGAACGGTAGAAGGCCTCGATGATGGTGCACAAGTTTCGTCACAGTACACATACACTGAACGATACAGTTAGTGTAAACGTGATATCGGGGCTTTTTCGCATTTTACTTCCCTATTTTACGACATGGTACCTAATAACAAGTACAAAATGTCACTGCTAAGGCTATTAGCACTTTACACCACACTAGTAGTTTCGGTGACAGCGTTTCAATTCTAGGAGAAAAACAAACAAAAAACCGGCAATCACTCGTTTGTGCTAACTGGGAATTGTGCTCTATACACAAATGCAGGTCACAAATACTGAAGACATTTTTAATGCAAGCTAAGGCTAAAATATATAAATTCGACTGACTCGCTTAAACTAGTCTCATACAGTTGGCGAGCATGCGATAAGGTTTGGGCAAGAATTGGTCGAAAACTGTGTAATTCACCGAATACTCTCGACAAACAATTGAAAAAACGCAGCTGAACTTTAAAAATGCAAAGCTTCACATTAGACAATATCACAAACACACCCACAGAGAAGGCAGCAATTGCAATGGCACCTTCCACGTACAAACAGTGCAGAGTAAAACAAAGTAAAATCTCTCTTTTCACTACGTTGCAAGGACAACAATATTCTACATTTCCTCGATCTAAATCCGACCAATGGTACTGTTGCATTACCTTGCCGTAAGTGCTTGAAGCCGCCTTTAGTTCCGCTCGCATTAGAATGTTTACCACAGCTGCTGACAAAATAAGAACCGCAGAGTGCATTTTTTGAACGCCTGGCCTCCAGCACGCGCTCTGTACCTCGCGCCGTGCTTTGGCTTTGCACGCAATCTCGAGGTGCCCGAGACTTCAAGGCGTCGCTGAAGGTGGGAGCCCGTGCTGGAGGCAGGTCAACCGAAGCGTCTCCCTGCCATTCTCACCTCGTCGGCCACTACACAAGGCAGAAAGGTGAAGCCCAAGCGCAGGCCTTAACGCAATACCCCGCGAGAGCGATCCCCAGGACGTCCCCTCCGCAAAAGAGGCCCCGGTTCGAGACACTGCCCACCGTTGATGACATCTTGTCTCTTCATTTCCTTGGGCTTGAGCAGGCGCCGCTCGTCCAGCGGCACCCTGTCCTGCCATTTGGGGGGCTCAGTGTCGCACTCCAGGTCGGAGTCGTCCAGGGGGGCCGGGGGACCACCCCCGTCGCCCCCTCCCGCCGGCTGGCCACGGTGCACCGCCTCGCACGACTGGCTGGGGCTCTCCAGGCTCCTAACCAGACATAAGCACACATGCACCTTAGAGCCCCTGCTGGCTCGCTTCCCCTCGGGATGTTCCCCCACAGTCCGCCGCGGCGCAACATGGAGGTAGGAAGCTTTTGGAGGCAACACGACACCACCAGAGGTGAAGCCAGAAGCGTGGAGGAACACGCCGCCAATGATGACCAAAACCAAGAGACGCTATTGGACGAAAAGAAGAGCTGACTTGGCCCCAAGAGCTGTTCAGTCAACCTCGGGGCCTTGGGGCCTCGTGAGTGACCAAAACAGCTGTTAGTGCCATGACAGGCCGTCATGACAGGACGTCACGACGACCTGTCATGATGACCTCTCCCTCGGTACTTTGTTACGACAGACTAAACTATAGACAAGGTTTTTAGCTTACCCCAGACAGAGACTAAGGACAGTAAATACATTAAAGTGATTTGTACGCATGTGGCCAAGTTTGGCAACAAAGTCTGTCACATCGGTGAAGAGGATACCAGTGTAGCGTGCTTAAAGGGCCCATGAAACGATTTTTGGGTTGGGATAAATCATTTTCGATTGGGATTTTACTAATAGCACATCGTTCAGTGGACCAAAAGAAAAAATGTCGAAAGTCAAAAGCCCGACTTTCAGTGTGAAAATTTGAAAACAGAGCGGACTATTTCGTACCTCCTCTCCTTCGCAACCTCTCTGCCTTTTCACTGTGATACATCCGCGGTCCCAAAAGCGCGTCATCGGGTCCAAACTGACGTCACACAAAACCGGACCTCACTTATTCCCTTCACCCCTAAGATGACATTGTGGTAGAAGCTACGCGCTTGCCGGACCAATCAGCCGCCTCCCTTTCATCACCTGACTTCATTCTCTGCAGCCACATTTGCCACGCTCACGTGGCAGGTGTGGCTGGCCCAACGAGCACGTAGCTTCAACAGCACTGTCAGCTTCGGGATGAACGGGGTGGGGAAAGCAACTTTTGTCTGAATTTTGAACGACGGGCTAATCTTCTAGGGGGACAATGGCTCTGTCCGGCTACACAAACCGGATTCCGAGCGAGAGGGGCCTCCCTTCTTTTCGTGGTGGAATGGGCGATTTATGAGTTGAGGAGGAAAGCTAAACAGGAAAAAGTTGGAAAAGCGTTTCATGACCCCTTTAAGTGTAGGGTGTCTGAAGTCACCAGGCTCAATCCGAAATGGAGCGTAAAAATCGACGCCTGCACAAAGCAATCTTAACTTTTCGTCAAAGATGTATTTTACAGGTCCATTTTTTTCTTGTAAAATTACAAAGCGTAGCTCCCTCTCTGTAAAAAGAGCGGGCCAAAAAACTTGCTAGGGTCAACGGTGGACAGCAACGCAGACGACTGAGTGCACGTTTGGCACACATATTGATAGATGGTGCTACCTCCTCATCGAGACTGCTTGCGATGACCGTGATTTACTAAAATGGATAATCTTTGCGCAGTGTAAAAATAAATGCAACCGATAAAAACAAAACTTGAAGATAAAAAAAAAAAAAAAATCAGTCGCATAATGACAAAGTTTTTGCTGCCGACGGATCTTGTCTCTGTGTCGTCTGCTTTCTTTCCCTGGTCGGCTACACCTTCCAATGCTGCCCCGGATGCCACCTATCGATATGTGCGCCAAACGCGCCCCACTGCTCGACTCTGTCTTCTGCGTCGCCGCCCGCCGTTGACCCTGGCAAGTTTCTTGGCCCAATTTTTACAGAAACGGAACTACACTACGTGATTTTACAAGAAAAAACAGACCTGTAAAATACACCTTTGACGAAAAGTTTAGATTGCTTCGTGTAGGTGTCGATTTTTATGGTCCAGTTTAGATCGAGCCTGGTGACTTCAGACACCCTATATACGAAAAAGTATTTTCTTCCTCATGCTTACGTTGGGTGAGGAGGACAATAGTAAAATAAAGACAGCCAACATTTTTTATCACGTTTTGATATCGGCAAACAGACAATGTTTGCCTATTTGGTTGGAGGGGTTAGACCCTGTTACCACTTTCTACGGGCAAGAACAGTGTCTTGCTTAGAGCCCCTAGAACTGGAGAGAGTACAGAGGCAGACCTCAATTAACTGCATTTCATATTTTTACGGGTACACCGAACGACAGTGATTGGTGTGCAAGCAGAGTTAAACCAAACACTTCGCTTTTTGGTATGCTCACAAACATTTTTTGTTTGTTTGAATTAGCATACTCATAAGAACTGCAAGCACCAAACTATTCTCACTTTCAAGGCTGTTTTGGAACTCAAGAACACAAATAGACAGGTGGAATTGATGATCCTACATTCTCGACAGTTTGGTGATCTGGTGCTATGCATTCGCAGAAACACCAGAAATGTTAGGGCTCCATTTAGGCATGTCATTGAATGTAAGACTTTTCTGACAGCCATCAAATATAGCACAAAAGACATGGTTCCACTGACAGCAATTGCTCTGGTCCAATTGTTTCAAAGCTTACTCAAAGCATGGCCAGAGTGAATGCATACACATCTTGAAAATTACACCCTCACCATACTAAAAGACTCATCACCCTGATTAGTGTGGCATAAACACATTTCCTAATTTCATAAATCATGAAAACACACGAGGTGCAGTGCCCAATAAGGACATGTGGGAAACACAGCGCCAGTTGTTTGGAAGATTTCATTGCATTGTCTTATTAATGCTCAATACACTAAAGCCATCAGACAGAGCACATATAAGTGCAGTAAAAATTAAGGAAAGAAAAATAGATGTGCACAATTTCACTTGAGATTGAACAGTCCTGGGCCCACCTTGCGGACAGGCTGGAGTTTGAAGAGCTCCCCGAGTTGTTCAAGTTGTTGGGCTTGTCGTCCACATCCACATCACTGTAAAGTTAGCAGAAAGAAATGGGGCTCACACACAGAATGGACAAGGCACAGGCAAGTAACAGTTTAATACTGTAAACAACTTACTTTCTGTGGGCTCAATATTTCGTGATTTAGGTCAAAGCTGAAGTTTAGGAATAATTCGAGGGTCCCAATTTTCACGAAGCGGTGGGATCTCAATATAGATTCAAATGCGTTTATATTTTACTGGAATTGTTTGCGGGACCTATTTTTCGCAAACTGTAGGCGATTCATGAAATTCATAAAAATTAGGTCTTCACGAAAATTAAGTTGCGCGCTTACAGTATCTCTCTTGCACATCCCAAGCCCAAGTCAAAGCAAAAATAAAGTCTCTTATGAAAACACACACACACAAAAAATATACAACAGAGACTAACCATTCCTCTTTAATAGATTATTTTCAAAAATAAATGCCACCTGGTGTGATGCTAGTGAACTGTCAGAAATTGTCTTTAAAACGTTGGCAGGGTGATTTCTGGCACATTGCCTTGCAATTGCTTGCAGTGCTAACGTGCTGTTATGCATCCCTTTTTGCCCAATGAGCTAGTACCTAAATTTATGAAGGCAAGTTAGGGGCATGTATCTTCCGATTACTGCAGCGTATTGCACCATGATGAATGAGGCAGCGATGAACTACTTTTTCAGTGTAGCAAGGCTCTGATGGCTCCTCCATGGTCACAGCAACAATGTTTTGCTTGTTGTAACACGGGTGAAAGGCCACACGGCCACACATGGCCCCACATAAGAATTTCAGCATTAACAAAAGACTACAGCAAAATGATTACGAAGTGAAAAAGCACAACTTATTCCATAGGCCTAGTCTTCATTAGGAAACAAAGGCAAGGGGCACAATGAGGACAATGATATTAGGAAAAAGCAAGTGTGAGCTTGCTTTTGCATTGTTTGGTCAGGCAATAAGTCCTGCTGAATTCGACTAAGTTTCATCAGGAATTGAAGGAAAATATAACTTAATGAATTAATGAAGTTCTGCCATTGCACATAGGGAAACAAGAGAAGGGTGCAGCAGCAGCTAACGGCTTATCAAGGCGACATTATTCTGGCGAACAGTTTCGTTTTCCAAAACTGCAGAATAAACTCTTAAAGGAAGACCATAAGCCTAAATTTCAAATTGTCTTTTTTAGAAATAATTTTTCAAATTTGAGGTTTTCGGTTTTAGAAATTAATTATACACCCTTGCACTAAATTTGATAAACATACGCTAAATAGTTATGTTAATATAAAATATTTTCAACACATTGTGAGGTAGTAACTAAGTAAAGGAGTTTACTCTTCGAATGAATTTCTCTCCGTTCCACTTTTTGCTGCAAATTTCATACAAAGGAAACTTTTGTTTGAAAGTAAAAGTATTCTGATACCACAATCAAAATGTTTCTTAACTGAAATTTACTGGGGAATCAGGCTATCTACTTGATTTTGTTTTTAGTTAAGTCCTCATTATGAAAAAAAAAAAAAAACTGTTTTAAAAAATTGACACAGAAAAGATATGCACCTCATATTTTGAGGCAACAGCTCTTCCTGAAATATTTACATTTGAGTTATGAAAACTAGATAGCTGGTCATTATAAGACATTCTACAACCCGAGACAAAGGTTTACAAAGAGGGACAAACACAATCGTCTCAACAAAAATACAATCACTGGTCACTTGTGTGGATATGAGAAGTTCCATTAGCTAGTATACTGTGCAGTTGCATAGAGACAATGCATTTGTAGTTTATGATGGTATGCCATGAAGCTTAATTGAACAATTGTGCAAAAACGAAACACATTGATATAAATTAGTTAACCTGGACAACTAGTTTCTTTATACATAAGAATGCACTAAGCCAATAACACCCATGTGTCAACAGGAAAGAAAGACAAGAACAGAAAAATATGTTCCAAACTGGTCCTACACAACATTAAAAAATATACCACCTTACATACTGGGATCAGATGTTTTCTATTGCTTTTCAAAAGAGTGGCCACAGATGCAATCTAACAATAAGCTTATTTATGCTAACAACAACAACAAAAAAAGAAAAAGAAAAAAAAAAAAAGAAAGAAAAATACAGCCAGCACATACATACCTTTTTGATCTTGGAATATTGGGGTCACTACGTTTCCGATAGGATGGCCGGGTTTCTCTCTACAAAATAAAAATAAAATAAAAAGATGTCAGCAAAGTGGTAACCAGGAAAGCTCCTTTCGAGAATGTGACAATGCTACTAATACTTTCCCATGAAACCAACAGCGTGTCGGTGACTTCGGTGACAAAAGAACAGTGCACACAAAGGCAGTTGACAAAAACGGTCACCGTGAAATACCGTGCTCGCTCCCAAGCTTCTGTCAGCACCCATCCCCCCATTGAGAATGCCCCTCCCTCCAAGAATTAAAAAAATAACAAAAAACCCTCAGAAACTGCCAAGACTTTCTGGAGTACGTGTCACAAAATCGTGCGAGTCGCGATGCGCATGGCGTCCACAGCCGCGTTGGGTCATGCAGCAGATCTGTGCGCACGCGTCGAGAACAGCTGCCACAGGCGGCTTCGCGACCGTCATATTTTTTTGTAGGCGAGCTTTTTCTTTTATATTTATATAACTATCTTTGTCCTATCTACATGATGCTTGACATAAACAAGTGGAACATTTATAGAGAATGGATTCAGCAGAAACACGAAGACGAAATAGTATAGCTTTTTTTTTTCTTCATTGTTTTCTAACTGACGCCGCGATATACGGAAGAAACAAAAAAGAAGCTTTCTAAACGGGGGTTTAATTATTTTGCATCTCTACCGTAGAATACCGCGCATCCGCCCATTCCACAATTTCTAAGATCTGAGAAAATATGCACGGTAGATTGATATGTAAAATTGATGACCGGACAAGCGCCCATCCCCCATTTTTTTTCGCGATTATCTCTAAATTTTCAGTGGGCGCTTGTCCGGTATTTTACGGTAAGTACTTCCTTTATGTATCACATTTTAAACCAGATGTCATTTATGAATTTTTCCAGTATTGTTTAAATAAAAACTAAAATCATTAAAGGACAACTCTGCTTCATTTTTGGTTTTGAAAAAACAATGCAGTCCTTTTCAGTATCGCCTAAAAAGACCACATGTCAAATATTACGATCCAGTTCTGTCTACTAAATGTTTCTTAAAAGGTCTGACAAACTTTGCAACTTGCCAAGTTGACGAAATCGGCTGACTTGGGTGGGCGAATTCAGACGTAACCAAAAGCGGAGTCAAGGCTACGGTATGGGCGTAGCAAAAATTGAGCTAAACGTCATCACCATTGCCCCCTTTTGCTTGTTTTTACCTCTCCGTGCGAGCGTAGCGGATGACGTCAGCAACGTTTCCCCTCGGCGCTCAGCGGTAACCATGTGATTGGCCTAACGTGCCTGCGCAGCGCGCTTCTTGGGAGCCGTACGGCCGACCCCGCCATGGTTCCGCCGTCTACCGCGTCACAACCACCATCATCGTCTCACCGTTTGTCATTAGTCTTTCTCGGAGTTACGTCCATACTACACACACTATGTGCAAAGACATGCCGCAGTTGTGCAGACGTCGCCGAATGTCGTAGACACCAAAACGTGGTGAGAGTGCGGTGCAGGCGACACATGCGCCTGGCACACGCCTGCCCCAATACACCCCGTTGTTGCATAGAGGATCAGTTAACACCTCATAACACGTGATGGCCATGTTCTTGGGGGCTCGAGGACAATGTTGCCGGACGGAGCCGACGTTTCGATTTTGATGTCCGCTCGTGTTTAAATTTAAATTTAAAAATATACCTATATCCCACTTTTCATGAAGCAAATGACATGGTGTTTTTTACTAGGGCTTTTTAATGCAAAATCACTCATTATCCCGAAATCTTCGGAACTGAGCGGAGTTGCCCTTTAAGTAATTCTAAATGCAGCAGACACCTGATAGATACCTAAAAGCCATTGCAAATAGCAAAATTCCTGGTTTTGCTCCAAATACCCGTCCTAAACGTTAAAAAAAAAAAAAAAAAAAAAAAAGGAATTATTTTATTAAAATTTGGACTTTTTCTACCCCGGACATCACAGAACAAACACATGAAAAAAGGAAGAGTTAATTACACGGCTTTCTTTCCTCCAAACATTTTGTGATTTTAGACAATGTCATGAAATGGCAGTTGTTCCTTTTGCATTACTAAAAAAATAGTCTCTCCTCAAGCACAATTGCAAATCATTGGTTATCATTTCAGCTACAATAGTGATGAACACTCCACAACTGACATTGCTTCACTCAAGGACACGTGCCGGCCATGCTACTGTTTGTATTGTAAATAACCTTCAAAGTAAATAAAAGTCCCTAAGCTAAAAAAAAACACACACACAAAAAAAAACTACCGTAAATTCCCGAGATAGCCCACCTAATATAGAGAGAAAATTTGGTGAAAATAAGGAGTGCACTAACTTTTGGTGTGCAATCAAGAAAAGTTGTAAAGATTTTATTTTTGGATCATGTGTGTCTGTCACACTTGTTATCGCGGTAAGAGGCAATGAAGCAAAGATGACTGTTCTCCCCCGTCAGCAAATTATGCTTATATTCCGCCATAGCTAACTAGACACATTCACGCCAAGGTCATCATTGATCCGAACACTACGATTACTAGGAATGGGCTATCTTTCAATGTTTAAAATAAAATAGCAAATCAAGACTAAAATAGGGGTGAGTTACCTTTCGGGGGTGAGGCATCTCTCGGTATTTTACGGCAGTGCTAATGTTACAGACACGCAATAATATGAACTGTACAGTTCTTATTTCACATGCCACTGAACACATTTTTGTCCTAGGCAATAAATACCTCAGATCTAAGATGGCATTCTTTGCTCTTTGTATCTCTCTGTGAATGGAAGTGCAAGCTAGTACTTGCTGCCCTAAAAGTCTGACTGTGGAACAGTGATGTGATTGGTCAAGTCATTTAGAAGCAATATATGGAAGAGCAAAAGGCACTTTTGGCACCCAAGCACATACTACTTTGTTTTCATTGTTTCAGCTAAAAGTGAGCACCTTCCCTGCTTTCCTCTTTCTGTGCAACTGCTCATCACCGTTTATGGTACACAAGACAGCTTAATTCCCCCCAAAAATCAAACTACCTGTCTAGTTGTGCTGAAAAGTACCAGGCAAGGCAACAAGTATTTTGGGTAAGAACCACCCTTTTTTGTTTTAAAGCTAAATTGCGGCAGCTGCTTTTGATAGAGTAGTTGATTAATGAAGGGCATATTAAGAGTGTGTGTAAACTATAAGCGTAAGTAAAGGATCGAAGGTGAACCAAACAGTATACAATTGAAATAATTTTAGAATAGAATAATTTTTAGTACCAAATTGAACGTTTTTGTTAAGTTCTAAGGGTTTAAATAAAAATGTGCATATCTCCGGTCAATTAAGAAAAAAGCTTTCGTAATTTGGGATTTTGAAAGCCTTGGGTGTAAAGAATATTGTAAAGATATAAAATCAACACACCCTAAGCTTTAAATAAGCTTTACTAAAAAGAAAAAACAAAACAAAAAACAGTTGTACCTATAAGAATATACAAAAGCTTCAATTCACCCACCCGCTAAAGCTCATTTAATGTTTAATAACCATTTATTGAATGCCCTCAAACATGGAGGTGGTAAATAAACAAGGAATCTGACGCAAAGATTAACCCCTATAGCTCAGCTCAGCTACACCCAATCAAGAAGTTTAGAAATAATGTCGCCCTACTCACAAAACCATTCGTAAAATGTTAAAAAAAGAAAGAAAAAAAAAAAGGTCAACGTTAGTGACACATGCAGCTCGTCAGATCATTGCAGTCAATCCTTGAACTTTTACAATGGCCATGGTACTATTTTAAAATACTACTTTCATAATGGCCATGGTGCTATTTTATAATATAAACCTACATCGACATTCATCACGTTTTCTTCTTTTTTTAAATGTTCGGCGCGCGCGCGCGATTTGAGTTCGCAGGAGTGTGTTGTCTCCTACGCACACGGCTGCACCGCGGCAAAGCGGGATGCACAACTTTTCTATTTATAGAAGAGTAGCTTCAGCTATGCTCAACTATCATCACAGAAGATATTTTTCAACATGTTCACTAGAAATGCTACCTTTTCAGGACTATGTGCGGCTGTCAGCTTACGTTTCATTCCGATGACGCGAACAGAGACGAGGGTTACCGCGATTCAGCGCTCCCAGAGTAGCACGCGCAACGAGAAAGATGCTTGCATGATTCGTCGTCATACAATATAGAGAGTACATGAGGCAAGCTAGGCTTCCTTCCTAGGAGTTTAGCGGACTGCAGAAATCGCACGTAGTTCACGCAGTGTCTACTCCACAGGTGTCGTTGCTACGCAGTGCACCAAAGCGTGGAGAGAAGCGCACTCAACGGAGCTATGCTAACTAAGCCACCCAACTAGGCGGCCCCAATATCCTTCTTAGGCTGGTGCCACCATTAATAGAAAACAATGCTGACAGTATTTCTTTTTTTTTTTTTAATTATGAATGATCCGAAATAACCCAGGGTTTAGTTGCGAAGTACCGATCAAGGTAGGAGGGTCTGGCTAAAGACAAGAGCTAGAGTTCGAAGATTTAATGGGATCCAGAGCACAGAAAAATAGGAGTCATGCCAAACATTGGTCTGAGGTCACCCTCCACCCCTAGCTCAAACAAACTATGAAAAATGGGAAATATTGCGAAACTTAAAAGCACTATCAGTGTTCGATAACAGGGTCGAACAGTACATTCTTCGAAACAATAATCGGGAGGTTCGAACGTTCATAGATGCCTAGCGTAACAACCCGGCAGTGTAAAGGGACCTCGGCTATTGATTTTGGCCTTGGTAAAGAGAAATAAACCCCCAACGCGATGCCCGCCCAAGTTCTTTATGGTGCAATGTATCAGAATGATCAATTTGGCGTAGCAATCGCATCGCCGGTGGTACAATCTTGGATCCAAGAAACGAAAGAAATGAGCTCGATCTGTTGGCTTTAATACCCTAGGCGCGCACGGTTTCAAGCAGGTGAAGCACGTCGGAGACCTCCCGGCTCGCGCTCCTAGCGTGTACCCCAGCGCTGGGGAGGGTGCGAAAGAACGCTAACGGTCAACCTATCGTCACAAATATCTAGGTTCCA